GATATATATATTCTAAATATATATAATATATATCTAGTTTTATTAAAATAATCGGCATCGCAAATAATAATAATAAAATAAAAATCACTTTATTTGACGCAAAAACAATTACATTGTGTACTTACAAATCGTATGTTATTTATAACACGATTAAAAAATGTTTTCTAATAAGCTTTAAAGTATCTTTAAAACAATGTCAATCAAAAATTAGATCCCACATTCCCATCAATTTATTACCACGGAGAGTTCAAGATAAATTGGATGTGACGCCCTTTGGGAAATCACTGTCCGTATCGCACTCGCCTCTTGCGGCTAATTAGCACAAATTGCTAATTAATATCATTATGACAATCTTGGCTTGGTTAGCCTATTTAACTTAAAAAAGATTTTATTTCTCATGGAAATAAGAAAACTTCTAATATATACCTAGGTACAATCTTTTAAGTAATAGTTACTAACACCTATTCTAAAAGATAAAATACTACAAATACCTTACTAGAAGAAAATAAGTATCAGGTAATCGGGCACGTTCCACAAGATATAAAATTTATCTGCAAAAAACGTTGTATTCAAATTTCGAACAAATAACATTTGTCCGCTAAGGAAAAATAAATGTCTCTGTTTTGTTATAATAGTCTGGTTTCTGTCATTGCATAGTTATGTGGGTAGTTTGAAATTAATTTGCAATCCTACCCTCCCTTTCTTACGATATTATAGATACTCATGCATTGAGGTAGTAGTTTCCGCCCAGCAACGGAGTCTACTCTAGACATTCTTTAGATGTGTCCCACGCTCTCAAAAACTTTTGCCAATTTAATTTCGTCACATTTTTGATGACATATGTCGCAGATTCGACGCGATTAATAATTCCAAAGTTGGTATCACTACCGTCGTCGGACATTATCACTTAATATTTAAACACAGTCAGTGCTCACGTGCGGCGCAGGCGCCGATCGGAAAGCAACTGAAGCACTTCACGACCGATTCTACGCACTACTGACAATTGACTTTGACAATTGACACATTGACATTTTACAACCTGTAAGATTTCTATGATATTGCGTGGTGTTGCCATTGTAATAAAACAAATAACATCGTGTTCTATTAGAACCTAATCTGTAATATGTCAATATATTACAGATTAGGTTATGAGGATGTAATATGTCAATATGTGTCGCAGATTCGAAGGGCTAGATAGTTATCACTATCGTCGTCCGACATTTGAATTTTATTTTAACTGTACTCAACGATTAATTAAATGCACTACTGTCAAATTTACTTTGACACTGACAATTTACCAACTGTAATCTGTCTATGATTATATGAGAACGTGGTGTTGTTCTAATAAAACAAATGACATCGTGTTCTCTTATTACATAATCTCTGACATACTCGTATATTCAATTTAAGTTAGAAACGAAGCTTAATACTTAATAATCATTTTAATGTGTAAGGGCTAGGGCTACACTTCAATAATGACTTGATTCACTATCATTCACATCACTGACTTTACATAAACTGTATAACTTCAAACTAAAACAAAGGAATTGCGTGTGTCACAACTATTTTATAATAAATTTCCTACCGACTCAACCGTCCCACTTCGGGGAGATGTTAGAGTCAATTCGTATTAACCGTACGACTCAAATGAGCAACTATTGCACATTCGGACTTGTAGCAAGATTCTTAAGAATATCTTAAATATATAAAACAAAGTCGTGTTAGTTACACCACTTATAACTCAAGATCGGCTGGACCGATGTTAGTTATCTCTTTTTTGATGGATTCTTTTTCGCTCCGAATAGCAGAATAAGTTATAAAATATCGGAGAAGTTATTGAAAAAAAAAAAAATTAATTTTACGAATGCAAACAGCATCTGTTGACAAAATTACGCATATAAAAGAAACCTACCACTTTGTTCTTGCGCCTGATAAGAAAACAAAAAATTCTGTATATCAGAAAGTGCTTAAACATGCAGTATCGCAATCTAGAGAGAAGAGGCCTAATGTGTAAAACTGCCATTCGTTTTTCGCAATGGCTAGCAATAAAAAATCTGTATTTGCAAAAAAAGTTGTATTAATGTTGTTGTTACCTTAATGAAATCCTAACTTAATTTTAACTAAAGTTAACACGATATTATTAGGCGGAACGAAGTTCGCCGGGTCCGCTAGTGTTTCATAAAAATGTTTAGAATTTAATTAAATAAATATTAAAAGCTAACAAATACATTTAATTATCTTTTCAATGATTAGTAATTTGACTGAATTTAGTCAGTAAATTTTTTAAATATTTAATTTTTTGCTTAGAAAAGAAAATGAGTAATTGCGTTCTTTGAAAAATATAAATAGATTTAACCCAAACAGTGGAAGGCCGCAAACAGATAAAAGCTCTTATCTCCCGGACCCTTTCAGAAGTTTTTCATCATGAGTAAAAATAAGATGAATCAAATTGTTTTGTTAGAGAAAATGTCTTGATAACAAACTAGCGTTTAATTCGTTTCACAAAGAGAATAAAAAGATCAGTATAAGAGAGTGACTTAGTTGAACTGCATATTTTATTACCTGCATTTTAGCCCACTCAAAAAACTTGACAAAGGTCAATGACTGCTTTTTACCTAAGTGAAATTACTAAAGCATATATTCTCCTGTTTTCACTGTACTCGTATTGCGCGGTAATATAGCATTTTGACCAACCAGTATAAACTAAAAAAATAATTATTCTGTTCCGACTGGACATCGAACCCCATGCGTGGCTTTACCGTATAGCCACGAGACCCTCTGAATGAATGAATTTCCTGTACTTGCCTTTAATTAATGCTATGTAACAAATAAGGACAGAGAAGGAGAGGAAGACCAAATGCACGCTGGGCAGACGATATCATAAAAGTAGCAGGTACTCATTGGTTACGTGCGGCAGAGAATAGAGAGTACTTCTCTGGAGGAGGCCTTTACCTTTCATGGGTTCTTGCTAAAAAATATTAAATTAGATATTGTTATTGTGTTATGTCAATTACAACATCAACTTAAAATTAAATCAATAACTAATTAATCTTATTTACATTTTTTAAATGAAACTACGAAAATGTAATGGATTTGAATATTATTTGAATATTATAATTATTAATACAATCAAATTACGTGTTAATCATAATCACATTAATTCTAATTTCTTTCTAATTTATTTTGCATGCACACTGTTAATGAAACTGTACTATGGAATGCAAAAAATAAAAGGCTTTTTATTTTATTTATTTATTTATCTAACAAATAGATGCCTTGTCAATCAAGTTTTATTTAATCGACTTTGCAATGTTTGCTTGTACATTTAAAGAAGACTAAGGCTTTGTTCACACATACAGGTACGTTTCAAGTAAAAGGATAATGGTTTTTAGTAGTGATGTGTAAACGTATTTTAATAATACTGAAAATATTATGATGTAATCCAAAAAAGTATATTTCTTTGTTATGCTTACATATTTTAGCTTTTGAAAATAGGAAAATTCGATAAATTAATTACAATCTTGATTATGAGGATAAATATTCAGAATCTCTCAAAAAAATAAAATGGAAATATTTCATAGAATTTTTCTCTTATTTCTAATTAACTTTCAAAGAGACGAACTTAAACTAAATTAACACCATTTGAAATATAGCACTCCACTTCAACAGCCCTATAACAGCTTGAACTCGTATATAATTAATATCCGAGTTTCCGACTTCTTATGTTAGAATTATGTAAATTTTGACTTTTCATCTTCATACCCCTTTTGTGGGGGTCGGGGTTTGGTAATTTAGCCCAGCTCGGTATAAATGTGAGTTTGAAAGTTTTCTTATGTAATTATTTTCCATTTTTGTTTAATATGTGATGTACGTTCTTAGTGGTTGTATGCAACAGAAGGCGCCTTAGAATAGATAAAATCCAAAGATCCTGGCGATATTTGTATTTGTTATAATATAGTTCTAATAGTATGTTTTTATTTATATTAATATTTTTAAGATGATGTGTGTTTTATAACGAATAAAAAACGATTAAAAATTCCTACAGAATTAGAATGATACATCCATGAGTAACTTAGGTCATCTTTATTTTTTAAATATTTAAAAGATATCTTAACTTTATATTAACTTAAATAATATAAAATGTGTTAATTATAACAAAAACAATATCTAACCTTGAAATATAATAATTAAAATATATTATTAAAAGGAGTCCCTTTAGGCAAGGCTTCCGGTCTCTTGCCATCTCTTGTTATCTAGATTATTATTAAAATTATTTTTGAATTGAGACACCTTTACGAGTTACAGTCAAACCTGGGTAAGTGAGAACTGGATAAGTGAGAAAACTCTATAAGTGAGAGTAATAGCCGGGACCAGTCATTTTAAGCTCCCAAAACCTCTATTAGCGAGAAACAGAAACCTCTGTAAGAGAGAGTCGTTTTTCCCTCATGGACCTCCGTAAGTGAAACTGCTACTTATCTATACCTCTATAAGCGACAGTCGAGCTTTAATTTACTTATATTATTTAGAAGGAACTATAGCTACAATAAACATACACACATACAGTAACAAATTACAAATTTGACATTTTCATTCATTCAGGATTTTTTAAAGTGTAAATAAGTTCTACATAAAATAAAATATATATGTACATAATAATGTTGTGCACATTATGCACATAATTTTATCATATTACATATTTACTATATTGGTACTTGCTGAGACTTGTTATTGCTGCGTACGATATAATACGTACGATATAAGAGAGAAACGCTACCCATGTACCGGCATTAGCGAGAAACTTGTGTTAGTGAGAAACCTCTATTAGCGAGAATGAGATTGTGCTCCCTTGAACTCTCGCTTATCCAGGTTTGACTGTATATAAAACACTAGGAATTATTTAGCTTCAAGAATTATTTAATAAAATATCCACTGATTCTAGCGACGCCACAAAAGTAAGCTAAAATTAATGTAACCACTATCTAAGCGTGTACGCTACGACAATGATAGAGTCTAGAAAAGTTCATAGAGTTTTAGGTGTACTAAAACCTACAAATATGTGTGCGTTCATAATTGCGTAGAAGTCCAAAAGAACGCTACGAGAATTTGTAGCGCCTACGTTCCACTTACTAAGGAAACTCGTAAGTGAAGCTCATTCTAAGACAAGCTATCTACATCAAACTAGTTGTTGAATATGTGTAGCCCCCCAGTGCTTAACGTGACACAATATAGCAGATGCATCTGTTATGTTCATAAAAACTGGAGCAAGTGTTGAATAATTCATAACATCGTGCCGGCACGAACCCAAGTTAAGCATTTGCATAATCCACTACACAACGCTACTGAATAAGCTTGAGTGGAGTACTACCTTTGATCATGCTACACATATGTATAGTTCAATACATCTCCAATGTAGACAGATAAGCAGTTTGACAAGTATTTGGTTCGGCTTGTTTCGCACGAGGGGTACAATTTCAGATTCTAAAAATATTTTGTTAAACGTTATCTCTTGCCTCGAATATTACTTAATCTGATTTAACAAATTTAAAAGAAAAATGTTTCTTATCTCTTGCTTTATATGAGCCTAATTATGATAAGATAATTTAGAAACATGTGTTAGTATGAAAGTGTCTGTTGTTGCGTTTAGTCGGAGAGTGAACCAAAAAACCTACTCATTCGTATGAAGTAAATCAATCTCATTATTATGTTTTAGTTAATAGTTTAATGTGTTTATTTGCTTTAGTAAAGTTGGTTAGTTTTTGTTACTTATATAACGCAACTAGGTGATCAGTCCACTTTGTCTTGTCTGAATAAGTGATAGCTTATTACAGCTTAGGTATGCAAACCGGATGTTTATTTGTATGGTTTCTGTTGCAGATTCTTGCAGCACAGGACTCTTATTAGTGGTAAGTAACTCCATGTTATTAAATGTTTTTGATCGAACATATTAAAAACCTTCTTTATTTACGTGCGTTAAAATCTATCAAAGTTTTTTTTTAACTTGTTATAAATAATTTAAATGCCATCTTCTCATCTGGTTCGTTCCATCACTACTATCAGCAGACAGCAGAAATAGTATTTTTTTCTCTAAAACATTCGCAAGTGTCTGTAACATATATAAAAATGTATCCCTAAACGATGCCCTCTGAAATTCATTAGCCTGTATATATAGTGTGTTTTCAAATTAACTATTCGCGTAAGTCATTTCCCGAGTTACGTAAGTTCATTAATCAGCTAACTAACGTCTCAACTAACTAAATAAACAAGCTGATTGCTATTCGATCTAATTCCGGTGAAAGCTTCTAACAAACTTATTTAATTACACTTTTAAAAAAGTCCGTTTCCTAAAAATATAATTGCTATATTGAAAATACCAACTTGGCGTAAATTGATATCGTTAATATAGTTATATATAGTCTGACCACAACAATACAGTTATCTGTCTAAATGGTTGAGTATGATTTTAATATAAATTGCAATTATATCCATAAGTTTTACTTAGTTAGTTGAATAGTGTTAAAAATATCACCGAGTGAAGCCAAAAGTAGCAATTGTATTGCAATATAAAAAATGTGCGCCTGAGCTTATAATACTCCTTCAGAGCTTCAGCTAGGGTAGACGGATGGAAAAAAAATGGCCGATACTTTTAAACGACAATGAAAACTCGAGAACTTTACATGGAACCTTAGTATTAGATTATATATGGATCTAGAAGCATACCATTTTTATTTCTCGGTTGCACAGAAATAACGACAATGTAACAATGGTTCATACAACCTATAGAATATATGAAGCCATAAAGTAAAAAAGGAAATGAAAAAATTACTACCGAATTCATATCCCCTTTGATACGTAATTCCGAGAATTTATAACTATAATTGATCGTAAATCATCGGTAGGAATTCCAAAATTCTTTTCCAACACCCGCGAGCCCGTGGGAGCAACCAATTTGATTCGCAAATTGCAATCCGTCCCAGCCGTAATTATATTCCGATTTTCGTGGTCGAGTATTATCAACCTGTTTTCTGGGATAAAATGGGAAAATTAAATTTTTAATTCCAGGCCGGTTAGGCCACGGATAAGCTCTATCGGGAGTGGCAAAAAAAGTGTGTAAATTCACTCTCTATTCCCTACCAATGGGACGGATAACTGAAGCAAGATGCGAGATAGATATATAAAGAAAAGAGCATGGTGTGTGACGGGTCGTTTTCTTTCTTTTTTATTCCCTCAAATATAGTTGAGTAGAAAGATGGCTGGCTGACACGTCATGCCTGTGAACAGGTGCCGTTTTCGGAAACTGGACTGCGAGGTTTCCGTTCAGTTTTGTAATTTAATACAAATTAAGAGCGGACCGTATCTCCCTTCTGGTTTCTTCTATATTTTAAAAGAATACCGAGAGTTTTGTACGCCGGCTTTTTTTTCTCGGCCTACACCCTCTATCTTCTTTGCCGATGAGTAGGGATGTCTACTGAGCCAAATTTAATGACGTGGAATAGCTGATACCTGTATCTTATAATACATAATAATAAATATACTTTTGACTTTCTTTTTTTAAATTTTTGAGATTCGCTTGATCTTCATAATTTCAATAACTCATCAGCATTCAAATAAAAAAAGCATCATTTTCGGTCTAATTTGTTCAGGAGCTATGACACACAGACACACAGAGACACAGACATGTCCTCTGCATCGGGTGCTATAAATAATTATACATATAATTTCGTTAAAGTATAGGTACAACAACGAAAAACATGGTCACCATGCTTCACCAGAATGTCCAATGTAACGAGGGTCGATAATGAGAGGATGGACATTTTAACTCTAACAGCGTACCTAAATCACGTTGCACCCTTGTATACTTTGACAGATTCTATTTTTAAATTATTACACCTTTTGTTTTGACAGTACCGTCAGTTTTCCTTTAGTAAAATTCGATATAAAATATATGTATATTGTCAAATTTAACTTAATAATAAAACAATAAAACACAAGCCTTACACCTTCGTAATCCTAGAACATGGTAACCCAGAGAGTTATGTACATAATAACCTGAGGTATGATTACCGGCGAAACAACATATGAAATATATAATAGTATATCATACAATGCTGATCACTTACTTGTACCCATCAAAAGTCAAAACCGTTTATTCAGATAGGTAACACAATGTACACTTATGAACGTCAAAAAAGAAATACATATTAAATGCTTCTTATTTTACATTTACTGTCAGTTCTCAAATCAAGAGCGTAGAACGGTAGAGAAGAACTGGCAATAAACTCTCCGCCACTCTTTTTAATCGCCAAGTTTTTTACTTGACCATGACTTCTTAAGTAATTATTAATAATAAAATAAATAAAAAACAAATATCTGTCCTCTATCAGCTGGAGGCATGGTGAAATAGGAGCACGCACTTACATTCTCATGAGAACAACACGCAACTCATAGTTGAAATAACTAACATCACCGCATTCACGAATTCAAGTCCAACCAGTCACCACAAGTAGCACCCGTTCACGAGTATGACGCATGGCCAGCCATCATCACTAACACAACTTAATAATAATCTCGTGGCTCTGGGTATACGACCTCGTCGGTCTTGGTCTATTTCCTTCATCACATTTATTTTTATACGACGACCAGCTTCCCGTGCTTGACACGTTCTTTTAGGGTTTTCTGTTAAGGTCACTTGTTATTTTCCTCATGCTGTTTACCGTATCAGCAAGTGTTATGCACACATAGAATGAAAAGTGCACAAAAACAAGACATGATTGAGAGTTGCACTCTTAAGCCAAAACTGCTCTGTCAACTCTGAGGTGATCCTACAACATTTCAAGATCACTGTTAGTCAAGGGCTGCAAAACTTGCGTCAATTTTAGAATTAGTTACTCTTAGCACGTTTAATTGAAACCCATAACTCCTCATTACCCGCGCTGTCGGGTAACGGGCAAATATCCAAGGTATTAGGAAATTGCAATCGATACTCAAACAAATTGGGTTTGGCTGTTTAGGAAATTTGAAACTATATGGCTTAACAGATACATTAGAACATCGCTTTTCAGGAATGAATTACTCTGAGGGCAAATTTACTATTCATTGATTTCAACAGAAATCACGATTGGTAGGAATTACGCTGATTTAGTATAAAATGAAAAATATTTAAAAAAAGTGGATATAAGAAATAGAAGCGGTAGCAAGAAGCGAATGAAGGACAGAGACATTTGGAAAAAGCTAGCCGTGAAGGGGCTACTAAAAGTACGTAGGATATAGAATACATAGGACCCCAAGAAAAACTATGTATATAACACATCTAAGCTTCATATTTTACTGTTATAATTATTGTAATTAATCGGGCTTTTAATATGATTATTAGTAACAGTGTTAGCCTAAAGTTTAAACATGCGATCCTCAACTCCAAGGTCGTGATGCAGCTCCGAAACATTGTGACAAACAAGTCTTAGACCCGTCTCGAGGACTAGGCGCTGAATACCAATAAACTTATGTACTAAAAGATTTAATAAACAATATTATTATTTGTATTGTTTAGATATTCCTAAAAAATATCTAAACCATATATATTAAACGATAATTCGTATATTCATAAATATATACCAATGGCGCTGTAACATTTTAGATCTGGGCCTCAGATCTCTGTATCATTTCTAATTGGGAAGTAGATCGCCTATCAACCTTTTGAGCCTAACACACCGTTGACTTTTGGATCTAAGGCATTCCGGTTTTCTCACGATGCCTTCCTTCACTGTACAAGCGAGTTTTAAAATGATAAAAATAGACGGGCGATGAAAATCCTATTCGTATTTTGGATCAGTGCCAACAATCAATATAACCTCTATAATCTTCAACTCATCTACCGTATATAACAGAGGGCCAATGGGCAGGAGGCGTACCTGATGTTCAGTGATACTCCCGCCCATGGACACTCAACATTGCCAGAAGCCTCGCAAGTGCGTTGCCGGCCTTTTAAGAATTGCTACGCTTATTTCTTGAAGGTCCCTAAGTTGATCTGTTTAAGTGGGCAGCTGGTTCCACATAGTGGTCGTGCGCGGCCAAAACTGCCTTAAAAATGTTGAGTTCTGGAACGACGGACGTCAAGGTGATACGGGTGAAATTTCGCATTTTGCATTGACGTCCGATTATGAAACTATATATTGTATAATATGACGACTGCAATTGTTAACATCTTTAAGTCGTCTTTCGGTTTTTTTTAGTTGCTTAAGAGAAACAGAAATCTGCGAAAACAGCTGGTTTTAAATCATTATTAATTGTTGTTTTATTAAATCCAAGATGGAAATGAAAGAATAAATCTAATTTTCAGATGCGGAGTCAAGACGGAGCAAGCGTTTCTCAGACAGAGTCATAATTAATCAACATTTTACTGAAAGAACACTTACGCCAGGTGGAGATGTGAGTAGCTTAATTAAGACATTTTATTTAATTCGTAATCCTACAGCTAACATAAAAATATAAAATAAAAAAAACTATACTAAAGATGGAATACATAGTAAGTATAAAAAGGTTGAAACATTTACGAAAGGAAAAATTATTAAAAACATTTAACTTAGTCAAAGTCAAAGTCAAATCGTTTATTTCAATTAGACCATCTAAAATGGCACTTTTGAACGTCAAAAAAAAATATAAAGATGATTCTAGTTGCCCCTTCCAAAAGATAGTTTCGTGTGGAGAAGAATGGGCAAGAAACTCCACACTTACTCTTTTAAAATAGGTTTACAATATTTTGTTAACCTATTTTATAATTTATTAAAAACTACTATTTATTAATAGTAATACCTAATTCGGCTGTGTTGTGTGTTGGTGTGCAAGGAAGGGTATGTACGTGAGGGTGTGTATGTGGGGTGTGCTTGTGATGCAGCTTATTTAGCGCTATTGATATTCTTAATAGATTTATAGCGATAGCTTAAACAAGTCGAGGCTTAAATAGTGGTCGTTATATGTCCGGGCTGCGTGATGCAAAACTGAGTTTGGTGTTGATATGAGAAACGTGAAACAAAACACGTTTATTTAAATTTACGGTTTAATTTGGTTATTTCTAAATTTATCAGAGGAGAGTATTTAGGAGAGGTAACAGATTGCTTAACTATACATAAAATGTAAGTTGCGATATTTAGTCAGCAGAAACTTTAATATTTAAAAGTAAGTCAGGTTTGTTCGAATACGTATAACGGCTGGACCGATTTTTATGGTTTTTAATTTGTTGTATTGGTCCCAAATAGCAAAATAACTATAAAAAAATAAAATAATCAATTTCCAAGACAAAATACTGTCAAACGATACGGTAAACTCTTCTCTCAAATTAAACAACCTATTATGAATGTAATGAAAAAGGATTGACATATATATATGGCTGACAAATATTAATGCGTGCGTTAAAACGCTTACCTATTTGTGTATTAATTTCCTAATAAAGTAATATTTATCTTGCATTCATTGTATTACTTTTATAGAATCATCAATTAAGTTCAGATAGTCTTTAACACGGGATTCAGTGACTGTTAGGCAGTACGAAGTTCGCTGGCTTAGTAATTTAATAAATTGAACCAAAAAATATTTTAGGCGATTCAAGAGAATACACAAATACATAATTATAATATTATGTATAGGCTAATCGTTCCAAGCATCTGTTAAATAAATTATGATAACCTCAAAACAACAGTGAGGCTTTGCTATATTGAAAACTTTATATTGAAGGCTTTGCTGTTAAAATCGCCGTAGCATTTTACTACAGTAACAACCACCAGTTTATGTGCTAAAATTGTGTTATTGTAGCTAGCAGTAAGTAAATTTTTAGTTCTATTTTACAAGAATCTTTTCTTAAACTTTAAAGTTTTTTAAATCTTATGTATGTAAAAGAGCTGTTTTTATGAACTGCCGAGACTTCAGCAGATTACCGTTTTATTTTAACAGAGCTCAAATGACTTTGACCCAAACCAATCTATAATTTCATAAAATGCGTGTGGAAACTAAACACCCTAAAGAAACTATTGTTGAGAGAATATATAAATATGAGACAGTGAGAGACTGCCACAACAAGTTGATAAGAGATTATTAGTCTTGTTCCCTTTTAGTCTAAAATGTAAAATGCTTGCAGGTCAGCCTTCAATGTGCAGCAATCGCAGATCGTCCACCACAATTCTCGTGGCATCGCGATGGGATCCCAGTATCTAGTAACACTGACTCCAGGTATTAAATAATCATTCATATAGTTGGTATATTCAAAAAATAAGGAGCTATATTATTATAAATACAAGTGTTTACGATAATGGTTTTTCTACTTCATCATTGTTAAGTCACAGTCATATAAAAGTCATAATTTTTGAAATCTATTGTTATTGTAAAATATTTTTTTTATAAACATAAATTTCTCAGTCTTACTACTTAAAAACAAAACTATTTGAATCAATTCTTTAAATAACATAAAAACAAAAATAGAAAATTCAAACAAGGCACGTTAAATGGAAGACTTGAATCAAATGATATTTATAAAAAAAACAATAAACACTATGTACCTCAGTTAAGAAATCGTTTTAAAGCTTCAGAATGTTGAATCAATAAATATTTTCTGTTACCCTATTTAAGATTTGCATTTCTAGATACGCATTTGGTCAAATCATGAGACCTGATGGTTCTGTGTTGGCTCAGTTGAATATAACCAGGCTTCGAGTAGAAGATGGTGGGTTTTACTCCTGTACAGCAACTGAGGGAGACCAAGTGGCGTCTCATGAGAGCAGACTTGACGTTTATGGTAAAGTATTATATAATAATCATAATAACAATTAAAAAAATCAATGACGTTACAACCTTTTTAGGTCTGGGCCTCAGATTTCTTTATCTGTTTCATGATCATTTGTATATCTAATAGGCAAGTTGGTGATCAGCCTTCTGTGCCTGACGTACGCCCTCGACTTTTTTCGGTCTAAGGCAAGCCGGTTTCCTCACGATGTTTTCTTTCACCGTTCGAGCGAATATTAAATGCGCACATAGAAAGAAAGTCCATTGGTTCACAGCCGGAGATCGACCCTACGACCTCAAGGATGAGAGTCGCACGCTGAAGCCACAAGGCCAACACTGCTCTTCATAATAATAATGCTAGACCAATTCGGCCACAATTGCTAAACGGCGATTGGAGGTGGTTATTTACCAGGGCCTCTTTTGATTTCCAGGTCCTCCATATATAAGAGCCTTACCCCCGATTAAGGTGCAGAGTGGTGAATCACTAAATCTACGTTGTCCATTTTATGGCTACCCAATTAGGTAATTAGAATATGTACAATTTGATTTTTTTTACGAACTTTTATCACGGACTATTATTTAAATTGCTGTTTTTGTATCGTGTCCAAGTTTAATGTACGCAATTTAATATTTCAGAAATTTCTATTATGTTTTATTGCTTAGTGAAACTATAATCATAAGGATTTTTGTGTTTGAAACAAATAAACTACTGGATCAAATTCTAGAATTATTTCATCATTAAAATTCTAACTTATCTCTGAGTAACTAACAAAATATTTTTAAAAATATTATAGGAGTCTAAAAAAAACGTCCAAGCATCTGTTAATTAATAAATGCATTGTATTTACAGCCCCTCTCTTACTAACTCTATACATAATGCAAATCTAACTTTCTATACAAGTTTTAAAATAATGTAAAATTTCATTTTTCAGTAAAATCGACTGGGAATTCAAAGGTAAGATTATAACACCAAATAATCTATTCCCGAGTCGCTACAAACGTAACCAACGAAGAATACTTAGTAGCAGCTACAAAATAAGTACAAACAATTTTAAATACATGAATAATAAAGAAATCGCCGGCGGCCAATCTCTCAATTTGAAACGAAAACCGCGCAGTGCTGCCAACATACACGGAGTTTTAACCATTCCGGAAGTTGGTAAAGCCAACAATAACGCAAAATATACATGCACAGTGACCAGTCCGTCTGGAGAAATGGCCAGACGTGATTTTGACATTAAAGTCATAGAAGCACCAGTTCTGGATGACCTGTTGCTAGGAAATAATTTGCAGGAAGGTCAGGTTGCGAATATTTATTGTAATGTGCGAACAGGAGATTTGCCGATACATTTCGAATGGTTGAAGGACGGAAAACGGATTCCTAGTAATTTAAAGGTTGGTCATGTGATCATGTTTATTTATTTAAATATACAATATTCTTAATCTACATAGTAATAATAATTTAAAAAATTTGATAAATTATAACCGAACAATTTGGTCCCTGTGGCAGTGTACTTTTAATGCTGGCAATTCATCACTGTATTACAATACTACGTTGAACGAGAAAATCAGCAGCTCTGGCGTGACCGGTACTATCTACCAGACGCCAACTAAATCTTTAATTAGCGCCTGCATATATACTATACTTATTTTAATCATTTCAATGTTCATCCCTCTAGTTCCTACACATATTTTTTACCTTGGACTAGCTTGGACTGACCATACCTCCAACAAATTCTGTACAAAAAAATCGTATAAAATGTCCATCTCAAAAAATCTATGTCACCGTCCTACTGCCCTGTTATATAGATGTGCCTCGAAAGTGTGTGATTCATGTCACTTGAGTGACGGAGTGATGTTTGCAGGTCGATCAGGTTCTTTCTTCTCAAGTCCTCCCCTTTATCTTTCTGTCTGCACATGTCCTATCCTAAATTATATATCTATTGTTAATTTCAGATCTGAAATAAACAAAGATTTTCAACCTTCAACTTTTAAGACATACTAACTTAAATTCTGAGGGTACATGCAAGTCCGTCTGTCACACGAAACATTTAATTATTTTTATTATTATTATTTTTTTATTATAGCCTCTTTATTTATATTAATTATTATTATGTCTTATGTAATTGTAATTTTCCTTAATATGGGAAAACCTTTTAATACAAATTTAGAAATAAATAATCCTCCGCAGGTGGTGGAACGGAGTTCGGAACTATTCAGCGCGTTAGTGATCAAAAGTGTTGCGCTGGAGCACTGTGGTACCTACACCTGTGTCGCCACAAATCACGTTGCCACTGTCAATAAATCTACAGAACTTTATATTAAAGGTATTATAACTAACACTACGACACGAATTTTTGTTAATATTTTACAGAAAGTAGAGAATTTCAAAGTGTGTATGTTACGATGATTACTTGTATAAGTTTAGGATATTTGGAAAGAACTAATATTACCAAGAATTTACTTCCCGACCCAGTCAGTTTGACGTGTCTAGCCGTCTGGCAGCTCGCAAACGAATTGCCCGATTATAGTGCGGTTTACGCGAACGTGATGGTTCTTCCGTACAATTCATCAATATTGGGGTCCTTTGAGATAAGAGCGTACCAATTCTTATAACGCCGGCAACGCACTCGCGAGACCTCTGGCATTGAGTGTCCATGGGCGGTGGTTTCACTTAGCATTGGGTGAACCTCCTAGCCGTTTGCCCCCTGTTCTATATAAAAAATAGAAGCCATTTGTTTTCTGACCTTCAAAAGGGAAGGTATCGAAATTTTGAATTTGAACAGATATGTTGTATATCTATTACAAAAAGATACCAATAATCAATCGCAAATATATATATATATATATACATATATATGTCTCCCATTTTCATACTAACACTGTAGCATCAGATTTTCATGAATTCAATTCGCAGAGATTTTTTAATTCTTTCGTTATGTTTTTATAAAATATATTATTCGATTAATTTATAAATATTGCAGTCGCACCGAAGTGGTTGTTGGAACCCTCAAATTCATCAGTAGTTCTTGGGAAAAGGGGAATCGTATCATGCAGTGCTACCGGATACCCGATACCACAGGTACACTGGATGAAGAAGGATGGTAAATATTACTAATAAACCTTCTTACTTGACTTAATTAATGCCATATAACCCCTTTCATGGGGCAGAGGGCGTCCAGACTGAGTCTCCTCCCTCCAAGTCTATCCGGCTTTCTTTGCCTCATCTGCAATTGTACAACGCCAGGTTTACCTGGGACGACCACGCTTCCGCTTTCCTTACATGTTCCAATCAAGTGCCTGCTTGGGGATCTAATTGGAATCCCTCCGGAGTGTGTTTTCACAAGACCGGAGCGTCTGCATCAGTTCAATTCTTTGACAAGATATTTATTATTTTCGCACTGCTTTGGAACGTATTTCGAAACATTTTTATAACAAAGATTATTTAAATAATTGTTAATTTTATTTTATTTAAGACGTATTTAATCGCGCACTGAATCACATTTTAGCAATCCTGGGAACCTGGCAGCCAGTGCTAGAACTAGCTGGCGGTGGAATCTTAAGTCTGGCAAATGGTTCATTGGTGATAGACGAGGTATCCCTGACTGATGAGGGATTGTATTCCTGCAATGTTGAAAATGGAGTCGGCACGCCGCTCAGCAAAACAATTTGGATCACTGTTAATAGTTGGTAACACTGTATTTTATTACGATCCAGCAACGTTTCTGGTCATTTCTAAAGTTGTGTTCAGCGTATTTATTTAAGTTAATGCAAATAGCGACTCGGTAAATTAATCCTATCCTTTTTTATACGTCTATACTATATTATATATAGAAAAGCATATAATTTATTTCCAACACACAAATATACAATATTCTTAACCTATATAGTAATATTAATAAAAAATTGAATTTAACATATAACACTCGAGCGAATGTTAAATGCGCACATAGAAAGAAAGTCCATTGGTGCACAGCCAGGGATCGAACCTACGACCTCAGGGATGAGAGTCGCACGCTGAAGCCACTAGGCCAATACGGCTCAATATAAAAAATTTAAACAAATTTAAAAAGTTTGGTCCCTGTGTACCTTTAACGCTTTCTGGGTGCCTTGCGATACTTATTTATATAAAATATAAAAAATCTTTATTAATGTTAAAACCAGAGCACTGAATTATATAAAAGCATTTAAAAAGCGTTACTTACCTTTATGTGGTATGTAATCTAGTTATGGTAACCTTCAAATAGTTTTGGAGATCATAACCAAATACTATTTTTCAACAGTTTTCGTAATCATCCCTTCTTAGTTAAATACAAACTCAAATTGACTGCCTGAGGATATAATATAATGTTTATTTTACAGAACCTGTACATTTCGTAACATCATCGCCAAACGTGACGTCACGTGCGGGCCTCCCCCTGTCCTTCGAGTGCGTTGCTAGAGGCGATGAGCCCATACAAATACAGTGGACCCAAAACGGAAATGTTATTAACTTTCGTAATCACAGGTAAATAACGGAAAACAACCTTCAACGGAATTGTATTTAGCTCATTAAATAAAGTTCGTTGGAAAATCACTCCAAACTTCCAGTTAATAATTCATATAAGTAATTTCGTTTATTAAAGAACTTTTAATTTTAATGTTTAGTACTCACGTAAACCAAAGACACCGAGATAAAATGTGAAATTTACACTTCTGATGTTATATAATTTTATTAAGACTAAAGTCATAGAAAAGTCTGTTTAAATAATTAAAATATATTCCTTTATGTATCTTAGACGATAAAAGAATAATGTGCACAAAATTAAGTGTGTGACGCGCACATACGAAAGATCTATGATTTTCAATAAGGGATTCGCTTTTCGCTAATGGAAGGAATCCCTTAGCGAAATAATAAAATTACTACTACATACAACCAAAATTATGAATTTCAGGTTAAAACTATCAGAAGTGAAAACGTCATCAGCGATCACCAGCTCAATCACCATCAACTTCGCTGAGACGAGGGATGCGGGCGTATACCAATGTCGAGCCAGCAATCCTTATGGCGTAGCTAATTATAACTTGTACATACATATATTGGGTAAGAAACAAACAATCAGATACAAAAATATATAACCCTAGGGGAAGAAGATAAGAAAGTTTTGTTTGGATTGTACTAACCCTGGGCTGTTCACGAATACAAGATTGTTACTTAACTTCCATTTCTACCAAAAAGTTATTGCGACTTTTTTGCCCCGTGTTACAGAAATCATATTTATCAAGTATAACCTATGTTATATCGTATAATAATGTTGTACTATATTTTTCTGCGTGACGTGTAATTTTAATTTATATGTAGATAAATACAATAGCGTTAAAACCTTTAATGGGTCTTGGCATTTGCATCTGTTTCATTGATAATGTTTGAGAAAAAATGCTTTTTGAAAATGCATACACAAATTTTTCTCTATACGAGCAAATGCAATTAAAGAAAACGTTATTTATTGCACATTAATAAACAAGTGTGTAATATTGCTATATCAATTACCCATTCCAGAACCTCCAACGCCTCCAACGGAACTGCGGGTGGAATCGGTAAACTCTCGGACAGCGACGATTTCATGGCGAGGAAAGTCGGAACATTACACATTGCAGCATGCACCAGCTAATGTACCGAGATGGGATGGCGCTGACACCATCAATATAACTAGGTAATTGTACCGCTTTTTTAAATAAAATAAAAATAACGGAAGTTATTTCTATTGGTTTTTAAATGAAATTATCAAAAAAACGGCCTTGAAAAACGCTCAGTTGTGGAACGTGCTGTTCATTCATTTATTTCTTATTCATGTGCCGCTTTATTACTAAAGGTTGGCTGTTAATAACGGTTAAATTGCCGGATATCTTGCGCTCGTCTACAGTTCCTCAGGGGATGTGATGCCGGTCCACTCTCTTACGTTCCCCTACCATGACTTCTTTCTTGTACCAGCCTTTCTCTTGTCTTGAATTCTGCCCATTATGATGAGCTGCAACAACTCGTATCAATGTCGCAAAATATGACCGAGATATGCAACTTTCCGTATTTTAACAGTCTGCATAAACTTTCATGTCCCGATGCGTTGAAGGACTCTTTCATTCGTCACTCTTTGTCATCCAGTTGATGCGAAGCGTGCGACGTACATCTCAAAAGCTTCGAGAAGCCTTCTTGTGTCTTCCTTAATATTCAATTCATTTATTTTGATGAAGAAAAAAAGAAACATATATTAGAACCAATGTAGGGCCACGATGTTTGGGACGCCAGTCTTGTGTAAGACCAGTAAGAAGTACTTACCAGGTTTAAATACAACCGTTTTAGAAATATCAATTTTGAATTCAAAAAACGTAATCAACGCCAGAGTACTAGGATTTAAATCTAACAGTATTAGAAATATTAATTTTGAATTCAAAATTATAAAAAAAAATTGTTTTATATGAAGGAATTTTTATGCATTCACGAATTAAATTGTTCGCCTAGCTATTGTGGCGTTAGCTAAATTTTGAAACATATTGTGTGTTATAATTAAAGTAGCCTTTAAAAAATCATTCATCATCATCAATCATCATCATTTTCAGCAAAGACGACGACATCCGCCAAGTATACAAGCTCCAGAATTTACGTCCAGCAAGCTCATATTCCGTGCGAGTTGCAACTGTCAATCAAGTAGCACTCAGCCATTTTACTGACCCAGTCCATTTTACCACGGAAGAAGAAGGTATTTCTTACAAGAATTTTATAACATTAAGCAAAGTCGCTTATATTCCTCTATAATATATATACGAATACCGTTATAATGTAATCCTTGATTGATTAGCTCCATCATCAGCGCCGCAGCAGCTTCGCGTTTCTCAAACTGACGAACCAGGCGAGCTTTACCTTAAATGGTCACAACCAGACAAAAAGACACATAACGGGCTCATCACTGGCTATCATATCAAGGCTGTTCCACAAAATATTGGGGCAGGTAAGCATATCATGTTTATTTTGAGATGTTACAAATGGTGGCTTTCACCAGTGTGAATACTCGAAACAGAACAAATCTAGGCGTACGAACCACCAGGCTCCAGAAGATAAAACACTCCTCACTCATTCGTTTTTACAACAAACTCCCAAGCGAAATTAGAGAATTATCACTAAATAAATTAAAAACTAAATAAAAATTAGTAAATTAATCAATAAAGCTTTGTATAAATTTGATGATTACTTAAATGATCGTAATCCTTGGGATTGATTTGCTCTTAATTCAAACAATTTGTATGACTCAAAACTTGGTGATTAAAAAGAGTGGTGAAAAGTTTCTTGCCAGTTCTTCTTGCCCGCTCAACGCCATTGACTTGCAAACTGGTAGTAAAAGAATCAATTTAACATATTTTGTTGACGTTCATAAGTGTACTTGGTTATCTATATGAATAAAGTTGTTTTGAGTTTGAGTCTGAGTTAATATGCATGGCTGTATTTAGGGTAGGGCAACGGGGGCTACAGGCCCGGGGCCTCCACAAAAAAGACTTCGGAAAGAAAAGTATATATATATAGTCTTTTATGTACAAGTATATTATTCCTACGTCAGGAGAATGCTTTATATTATAGCATTTATCTAATATATAAAATTCTCGTGTCAAAATGTTCGTTCCCATACTCCTCCGAAACGGCTCGACCGATTCTTATGAAATTTTTTATACTTATTTAGTATGTCTGAGAATCGGCTACTATCTATCTTTCAAACCCCTAAGTGATAAGGGGTGTTCACCCCAAAAAAAAAATTATGATACAACATACAACCCTTAATTTTCACCCCTCTACGATCAACCCCTATTTTTTATTATTGTAGATAGTTATTTTTATTATACTAAAAAAAAAATCCTAGAAATACATGGCAAAAAAAAAACGTTTGCCGGGTCAGCTAGTATAATATAATAAAATATTAACTTACATACAACTAAATTTTAACACGGCGAGGGTTATAACTTCACTTCGACTATCGTGGTGTAAAAGCGAAAAAACTAAATGATTTCAGATGAAGGAGAAACAAAGACGCTAAAAGTGTCTCATCAGGCTGGGAAACTGGAGACTACTGTCAGAGGGCTTCTGAAGAATACTCGGTTAGAACTTTAAATTGCTAATAAGTTAGTTTTTTTTTTAATATGGCTCTGGCACGATTTGTGCATTAGCCAGCGTAAAGTATAGGATTTTTATAATTCGTTCTTTTTGCCTTAGAAATTCGACCGTGTCCTCCATGTACGGTTTAGGCACTCGCGCGGTACCGCACAACCCTCCCAAAAGCCGAGAACAAATTTAAATTAAATTAAAATTTACCCTCGAACCGGGAATCGAACCCGGTACCCCTCACCTAGCTGCCACTTAATAAGACCGCTAGGCTATGAGGCCGCTAATAATTTAGTTATTTATAATAAAAAATAGTTTTTTTTATTGATAATAAAGTTTTGGTATTTATATGTGCGTAATTAACTTGCACCAACGATGAAAGCGAACAACGTGAGAAAAGGCATGTCTTACAGGACATCACCTACCTCATATCACCTTTTTACGAGAACCTTACCTTCTAGGTATGCTGTATCTATAGCAGCTTCTAACAGCGCCGGCATTGGTCCCTATTCCACACCAGTATTTCAGGAGACTAAAGCTGGAGGTAACTCTCCTTTTACTAATAAAAAAGTGCGTGCGTATAAAGCACACATGTCAGTAGTGAAACTTCTTTGGCAAACTAATTTTTAACTCTTATTCATATTTATACAAATCTAAAACTTAGATTTCCGAGACTTAGAGAGCGGGAAAAAGAGAGATATGTTAGGAATTTAATGAATTTAACTATCATTAAAATAATAAAAGGGTTGTAAATTAATTCAGATAATCAATTTCATTTATTTCTTCGATCATAAAATCACGTGGCATTTTAATTTACAGTTTGTCATTTGAGATTTTAATAAATTATTTTGCATAAAAATTTAAAATACTAATATTTCATAAATTCTCTTTACGAAATTTTAATTTTAAAAATTGAATTTCTAAAAGGTTATTCACCCTTCTCACTCTCTATCAATCGGTCTCAATAGCTCGCTAACTTTTCTTCGAGAAAAACGCTGCACAGTTTCGTGACGTTGACAAAATAGTACTTCGTTTTTTAATTAGTACACATTCGTATTGCTATTTTAAAGGGTTAACAGATGGGTCTCAGTTAATTTGTTTTTATTTAAAAACTATAACATAAAGTAGAGTTTTGATGTTAGTCTTCATGTAATTCGTATGAATATTTACAGCACCAGAGAATGCCCCAACATCTGTGGAATGTACCGCGGTTTCCCTACTTCAGTCAGAATAGGATGGCAGCCGCTGCTCAAAACACCTGAATTACTGGGATACACCATTTTATATGCTACCGAAGGTAATTTTCTCGTAATTGACTTGAATAGCTTAATAGCTTGGAGACATTACTATATCCGTAATGGTTCTCCATAATCTGGTCCTTTGCCACCATCTGTAACAGTCAGTAATAATTAAAGCCTCCAAATATTTAGTATTTTTAAAGAAAAACAAATGATCTAAAAACTTATCAACGCTGCGCCGTCACATTACCTTTTAGTATACCGTACTTGCATATTTTTTTAATGAATTTATAGTTTATGCTAATAAGTCATTTCCTCTCTTTTCAGAGAGCGCCTGGCAGAACGCAACTTCTCTCCACACAGAGATGTATCTTCAAAATTTGATGAAGTACACGAACTACACAATTAAAGTCGCTGGCTTCTCCAGCTATGGTGTTGGGCCCTTCTCTTATCCAATAATATGTGCAACGTTAGAAGATGGTACGTATTTTAATGATATATAGTTTATTGGAAATAATATGTCCGTTAGTGGTTAAAGGTGTTCGCCTATTTGCGTATGTTTATGTACAAAATTAATAACTGATTACAGTGCTACGGGATTAAGTATAATTGTCACCTCTTTATGTCCACACATACAAAAACAATAATTTATAACCTCATTTTAAATTACGAAACAATATTGTTATGTATCTAGATTTTATTATTACTTCGCAAAGCAAAGAATACCTTTTACTGTAATCAAAAATATATGAACCCTGAGGTCGTTAGAAAAAATTGTATTTAATTTTTAATACTTGCAGTACCTGGTCCACCAGCAGATGTTAAAGCACTGGTTTTATCACCAACCTCGCTTCTCGTTAGTTGGAAATCACCAGACAGACCTAATGGGGAAATACTATATTACACTGTGTATGCTAAGCCTGTTGGACTAAGGTTGGTTTTTAAAGTTTATCAATGAACAGGATTTTTTAAAGTTTTTACAAAAAGTTCATGCCCACATTACCACCTTATTCAAGAAAAATAATTCATTGTTATTGCACAATTTCAAATAATTGAGGTTTTTTTTATTACGAAATATTTTACGAACAACAAAGCACTAAATCTAGTGTATGCACACATTAAATGTAATATATTTATATATTTATATACTTACATAATATATTAAAAAACATACTTGGATGCACTTAAATACTATATGCCCATAGAAAAAGCCTCGCATATGAAAGAAAGTTCTCAATTAAAAAAACTTGTCGTTACTTCAATGTGAATAAATTTTTAGTGGTGGAATGACATTAACTCAGCGAATTGAACCAAGTAAAACCACAGCTGAAGTGAAGGAATTAAGTGTTTCCCGAACATATGAGGTTTGGGTATGTGCATCTACCCGGGTAGGGGAAGGAAGAGCAAGTAAACGGCTAAGTCAAACCCCTACACAGAGAGGTAACTTCATATAAATCAAATTTATTTAAATTATTAAAACCAGTCCGTCTTTTGGCGCGTTAGGGAACACAAAAAACCGACACCCTGAAGTTAGTCAACATTTTAGTTTTTTCTATTATTAGTGTCGTTCTTTCAAACGTAGAATAAAAATTTTGATTTTTTTGTTATCTTGTTTCGCCAAAGAAGTATAACTTCTAACGCGTGTCCAAAGTACACACACGTTTTTTTAATATGATTTACTTATGTCAAGCAAACGCAGATATGTACCTGGCATTATTGAAAATAATTAAAAGTATTTTTTCCCTCAGTGGTAGCTGGCGTATTTTCCCTAGGCGGAACAATATCTGTAGGAGCTGGTTCTTCTCTGCTCCTTCGGTGTGAGTGTGTTGGTTCTCCTGCAGCTCGTACTGTTTGGTACCATAACCACAATATCATCACACACCATCCCCGCTTCACTCGGAATCATGACGACAGTCTTCTTATTAATAGTGAGTATATATTCTTAATTTTTCCAGTTTTAATAAGACATAGCTTAGGTCAGCTATTAGTGCTAACTTCTAGTAATGCAGCTTTACTAAGTAGCAGCTTACTTTGCAGCTAAGGCCTGATTAGTTAAACTATGTTTTGTCTCGTCTGTACGAGACAAGGCTGAACATTTTGCTTACTCAGTCTTTCTTAGTTTTAACGCCCCGAGAGACACTCTCTCTCACTTCAACATTTACATTAAATTCATTTAGCATTCGTTTCATAGCAATAAGCTTTTGATTATTTCGCATATATTCTATTGTTGTACGCGAGTGGATAATTTAGAGTTAATTTCAATGAACCGTAGACCGTTTATATACTTTTTAGGAAAAACATAAAATATGTTAATGTTTCATCAGCATATTTTTATAGTATCTAGTATCTTATTCCAGATATAGACCAATCGTTGGGCGGAAACTACACCTGCTTGGCGAAAAACCTTTACGGTTCTGATTCAGTGGAGTACACAGTCATTGTTTTACCTCTACCCGAACCACCAGTAATTCGGGCTACGCCGTTTAAAGACAGCATATTGATTGAATGGGAACAGCCGACCTTAATAAATAGGACTTTAGGGCAAAAAATTTGTAAGTACATATTAATGTTCCTCCTTTACACTGATTAGCTTTCCTTTAAATTAGCTTTTAATTTTACTTGCACTTGGATTATTATTTTTCATTAAAATAAAATATTAGTTTTCATTAAGTATTAAACTATTTCTCTAGTTTAACTGTATATTATTGAATACATATATTACTATCACCAGATACGTCACAAAAGAATATTTAATAATAATTGGTAAATTTGCAAATATTAATCTCTTCAACAGCGTACAGCTTAACATGGAAAGAAGCAAACGGACCGTGGCAAGATTCCTGGTCGCCTGACGAGTTGCCAGATCTACCAGACAATTTGCCCAACAAGTCCACACAAAAGTACCTTCTTACTAGCCTAAAATGCGGAACTAAGTATTCTATAAGAATTACTGCCTCCAGCAAAGTAGGAACCTCACAACCAGCTTATATGGAGACCAGCACTTTGGGTGGAGGTAATTATAACTGATAAGCTATTTTCTGATATTGTACATTTTAAAAAATTATATAAGTTCTTACAATACAAAAAGTAATATAAATACAGTGTACAGTTGAGTACTATATATATATATATATATATATATATATATATATATTAGAGTTAAGTATTTGTCTTAAGTTGGAATGCAGTGGTGCTACTTGTGGTGACTGGTCGGACTTGAATTCGTGTATGCGGTGATGTTAGTTATTTAGACTATGGTATCTGCGTGTTGTTCCCACGAGAATGTAATTGCGTGCTCCTATTTTACCATGCGTACTGCTGATAGAGGACAAATCTTTATTTATCATTTATTAACTATTGATTACTTCAGATGCCATGTGGAACATGGTGTTATGGTTGCAGCTCCTTACAAATGTTTTGTAAAACCAAAAACTTGGCGATTAAAAAGAGTGGCGGAGACTTTATTACCTGTCGTTTTCGTCAGTTCTAGGCTCTTGATTTGAGAACTGGCAGTAAATGAATTAGAAGCATTTAGCATTTAATATGTATTTCTTTATCGACGTTCATAAGTGTACAACTGTACATTGTGTTACCTAAATGAATAAATGATTTTGAATTTGAAAAAGTGGTTAAACCCACACGTCGGATGAGCACGCAATCCGACAATCCTGCTACTTTTGTGATATATGACAGTGGTGAAATAGAAAGTGCACCTTCTGAAGGTTTTCAAGCCCTAAATTAGTTTAATAGTTTTACTCTAAAGTTCACTCGCGTAATAACCCTATCTGAACATTTCCAGTTCCGATTCCACCATCATCAAACGAATGGTTGTGGAGCAACAGTTCCCATATGTACATACAATTGGCCGGCTGGGAAGGTGGTGGATGTGACATGAGAACGTGGGACGTAGAATATCGTCCGATGGGATCTCGGGTCTGGACTAAAGCTAAAAATACGTTGGTAAGTATTCTGATAATATTGTTGTTTTATTTTATAACACTCTTATTTGACGTTGCATCATGAATAATCACGGGTTGACATAAGTCTAGTCAACGGTGCAATTTCAATGATATTGCAGTGAAACTTCTTTGTAAATTAATTATTACCAAGGTAAAAGCCCCAATAGATGATCATGTACCAGTATATGATCACTCCATGTATTTGTATATCTATATTCACACTGTATACGTGCTAATGATAATATCCATAAATAAATATTTAATGAATTTAATTTTCATTAAAATATATAGTGTGGAAAATTAATACAAATAATAAATTTAATTTTTGTTCATTTATTTCTTTAAATATAAACACGTGGCATTTTAATTTACAATTTGTCATTTGAGATTTCAAAAAATTATTTTGCATAAAATATAAAATACTTACTAATATTTCATAAATTCTCTTTCGACATTTGAATTTTAAAAATATGATTTCTATAAGGTAATTCACCCTTCTCACTCTCTCTCTCAATCGGTCTCAATCGCTCTCTCCCTTTTCTTCGACAAACAAAAACGCTGCACATCTTCGTGACGTTCCCTAAAAATTTTACCCTCATGCGCCTAAAGAAGTTTCACTTCGATTACTACTACTACTTTGATTATTTTACATAACACACTTGCATCAAGCACAAGATAAATATCTGTTAAAATACATTCCTTTTTCATTTATCCTCAGTCATATTCAGACACCAGCTGGAATCTACCCATGTACCAAGCGAGCTACCGATCGAGTTCATTTGCGATACCAGATCTATCTCCCGCTACGTGGTACCAGGTCCGCGTCACTGCCACTAATGAAGCTGGCAGTGTTACCAGTATTTATAATTTTGCTACAAAAAATGTTGATGGAAGTAAGTATTAATAATCATGTCAAAATTTACCTCTAAAAAAATTTATGTTGCACATTGGAGCATGTACTAGTGAAGAGAAGTTATAATATGACCAGAAATCGAACCCAGTACGCATGATATATCAATTAACCTGCAACTGTGTTTCAAACTCTTGTACTGACTATTCTTACTGAAATAAATTTTACAAAATACATGGTCTAAATAAAAATAAACATATGGACAGACACAAAGGGGTTCTAGGTGACTCTTTAGGTTGCGATTTTCCTTAATAGATAGAGAACGTTAAAAAATGTTTTAAGATAATATTTAAAATCTAAAGTTTTAATAATTTTACTTTCTCATACATTTTAGTCACTGCATTCAGCAAAATATTTTTTATTTATTTTGAAAAAAACTTTGTTTCAGCTGAAGTCGGCCCGTTATCTGATGTTTTTGATCTGAACATTTTGGTGATAATATTAAGTTCTATCTTACTAGTGGTCTGCCTAATTTGTTGCATCTACATACTGTTTATGAGGCAAAGGTAAGCGGACCAGCCGTACAATATTAATCATTTATAAATTCCTTAAAGAAAGATAAAATAATAATAAGGTCCTAAATGCTTTGAAGTTTATTTGTAATTATTATCTGTTAATTGTTAATTTCTACTCGTATTGTATATTACTAGCTGACCCGGCAAACCCTGTTTTGCCATGTAAATTATTTCTAGAAAACAATTTATTAATTCAATAAAAAATAATTAACCACTATAATAAAAGATAGTTAAAAATTGTCTAAAAAATAAAAATTTAGGGGTAGACCACCCTTAACATTTAGGGAGATCACGAAAATCGGTCGAGCCATTTCACAGGAGTTTAAGAACAAACACCGAGACATGAGAATTTTATATATTAGATGTTATGAAGACTCTATGAGGCACACTTTTGAAGACTAGAATTAAGTTATGAAATCAGTATCTCAGAACTAATTTAACTACTAAAGTTTAAAATAATCTAATTATATTTAGTACATTTTATTCATGTAATGAATACTAAGTTTCCTTAGTGACCAAAGTGTGTGTGTAGTGGAATATCAAACATAAACTAATATATTTTCAGAAGCAACACTTTCATAGAGTACAGAGACTCGATAACCATAGATAATAAATCTGAGAATGGCATAACGAACATGTCACATAGCAATTTAGCTGCAAAGGAAAATGCATTGAATGTGCAAAACAGGATATATAGCACGCCAATACCGGTTAGAAATAATAGCAAGCATGGTTAGTACCCTCTTTTAATGAAAAAAGTTTTAGAGATAATTCAACAAAGAGTTTTTGTACTATAGTTTTTTTTAGATAATTTGCGGTTTAAATACAGTCGCTACGATTTTTAATAAGAATAGAAATTTCAGAATAATCTGCGTTTCCCAAAACAGTTTAAATTAAGTACCACCATATATTGAGTTAGATAATAATTAGCAACATGTAATTTTAGCGATAGCCCGACAACTTTATCAATATTTACTTAATAATATAAAGGACAGCAATAAAAAAATTACATTTTTTTTACCGTCCTTTTCACTGGTAACATATGTTTTAATTGCTTCGTAATTTGTTCCATTAGTTTTTACTAATTTTTTTTTGCTTACAGTGATTGTCTGGAAGAGATCGTTTAAAGTCTATAAGTGCGCCAGTTGCCCTCCTTTTTATTTAAATATGTCAATTGTATTATATTTCTGAATACTTGCAACGCAATGTTAATATTTTCAGAACTATACGAAATAAGTCCATACGCACAATTTGCGGTGGGATTTCGAACATTCGGTCATGTGGAAAATCAAGATATACCCAGCGCACACAGGAAGCATCGATTTGATTCAGGTAAAATTATTATAAACGATAATTAACTAAACTAGCAATCAACAAAATTTGTCCATACATGAATGGATTTCACAAAAAATAATCGCGCGTCGAATTATAAACTTCCTACGAGTTTGTGTTCGCTGTAAAGAAAGCTGTTCTCACAAATACAATAATGTAATTTATTTTTCAGAGACAAGTTTCCAAATGTGTTCGGAGTCGGAAGATAGCGACACGATATCAAAGAACACGCTGAAAAGTATTCCAAGAAGTAAATGCTCAAAAGGTATTATCAAAACTAAAGCCAATAAAAAATAATTTTTGTTTGTACTTCTAGTAACAAATCCACACTCGTTCATCATTGACTTGTATTATTAATAATAATAATTTATTTGCATGAATATGGCACAAAATTATTATGGTGGTACAATCTTAAGTTCGCATATTATAGCACAAATAATGGGGTGCAAATTTGTCTTAAAAGGAATTCTACATAGAAGTAATGTATGTATGAATAATTATGAGTAATATCATTATAATCAATTCTTATATTATCACTACATCATCACAGTACATTATCCAATTATTATTAATAGAATACTACGTTATGTATGTGTTGATTAGCATCAATTTCTTTATACAAGCAAATAATAATGAATCGCAACTAAAAGCATAAGATTAGCACATTTTTCATGTTAAATCTTCTTTTCAGATGTCTGTCGAACCCCACACTATAGATAGCCAGGAAATAGAAATCTAGAAAAATAATTTTATTCGACGTGGATGTTTGGGGTTTATTATTGTTCTGATATAAATATGTAAACGTAATAATCCTTAACCTTTTTTAAATTTTCTATGGAGTTATTTGGATTTATTCATGATAATATTTGGTATTGGCAAATTGTCTACGAAATGCAAAGTATTGAACACAATTATTATATATAACGTGGAAACGATATCATAGCTGTTTTAGTGAATAAAAATATACTATTTATTTAACGCGAATACTCGAATTTATTACATTATTTACTGAGCTTCGAGTGCTTAACAGTCGTGAATGACGAGACTGTCATAAATTCGGGCTTATAACCGTTTAAAAAGTTTTCTAAATAGTCGAAATAAAGTGTGATTTCAAGTATAGAATAAAACATTATTAACCATTATGTTTGATGGTGACATATAATAACCAGCCAGAGCTTACTAAATTTGATTGACGAATAATGCAAGTAGCAACCAATTCCATGCTCGTGGAATCCAATGGACCGAAGTCTGTTTCAGTGATAGCTTTTAAGTTAGTATGTAATCAATATTAAATCCTATCTATATACCACCTCTAGTTTTGTGTAAAATCCTCAGTCCGACTTCGATTTCCAGCAGAAAATATTACGATCCAGGAGATCACCTAGTCATATTTGTATTCCTTCGAACGGTTGTCATATAATAGACTTGATGTTTTCAACTTTCTTAGGATATTTTAAAATCTCTCTAAGTTAATCATTGGAATATAAGACTGAATATTGTTTTTAATAATTTTAATAAATTGTATTATAATTTTCAATAAAATATATTTGTTTGAATTTACTTTTTTATTTTCAACATTTAGATATTTGTGAAGGTTGTAAAGATTTCAGCAGCTTCACCTTTCCATCTACAAACCCACGCAGTCAGCACAGTTGTGAGAATAAATAATATTAAATTGTTCCTGTAGTTCACAGGGTATTAACATCCAAGAAACTAAAATAACTGAATGAATATTTTAAAATATAACCTATAAACTTAAAGAAATAAGCGCACGGTGACATCTATTGACCGAAATATGAAGTATGACTCACTGGATGGTCCGAAGGCCGCGCACCTTTCCGCCTTATAATAGAAGTTTACATGTGTGTCTACAATCTTTAAAGGCCTGGTCATCAGATTTCTGTATCTGTTGCATGATCATTTGTCAATCTAAGAGGCGAGTAGGTGGTCAGCCCCCTGTGCCACGCCGTCGACTTTTGGGTCTAAGGCAAGCCAGTTTCCTCATGATGTTTTTCCTTCAGCGTTCTAACGAATGTTAAATTCACACAGACAGAAACGGACACAACCGGGGATCGAACCTACGACCTCATGGAAGAGTGTCGCACGCTGAAGCAACTAAGTAAACAATGCGGATTGTAATAGAACTTATATTGCAGCATAATGAACTTAGCTAACTATATAGTAATGTCACCGTGATTGCAATATTTATTTAAGTAATAACCGGAACTGATAGTTCAAATCAAAGAATTCGTGTTTTGGCTTGGCCATTTATCGAGAAAGGCTTTTTATAATAGCTAGGGTGCTGGCGAGCATTTAAGTACCTATACGATTTGCTCGTCTTTGTAGGAATTAAAGATCGGGTATACAAAAAAAAAGGGTAATTAATGCGACAAGGTTTCTAATCATCCGCCTTAATGGCAGACAAGTGATACCTGTTTTATTTTTACACAATTAAGGGCGTGTCAATTAACGGTGCATCGCTACCATGGTGGCAGACGTGTTCCTTAATATTCATTATCGTATATTTATCGCTATTTAAAAAATCTGCCACACGTAATATTGATATTTTGGTCGCCAGCTCCCTAGCTATAATATCAATGAACGCGGCTAAACCGAAGGTAAGGACAAGAAAATAAAAAACATTTAGGGACATTATTTATTTCAATCTGTCGTTACATGCGCAATCAATCTAATCTAACCTGTCCTAAACCTACCAAAGCATTCACCGTAGATTTACAAAGATTGGTTATAAAGACACTTACACGGGTACATATAAACATGCGTTAGGCGACGACTTCACTTGGATCTTGTTCTAAAACTTAATCTTGATTCATACAAAATAAACAGATTCAAAGACATTTCAAATATTAACGCTTTCATCTATCGTTTTTTGACATTTGAATGTCGATTTGTTAGTGTGATATTCAAAGACAAGTATTGCAGAGCAATAAACAATTTGGTTTAATGTGGTATCAAACCACTCTGTATATTATATCTGACAATATTTGAGATACAATTTAAATAAGAGATTTTGACAAAAGAAAGTTGGAATTGAAGATATTTTAAATAAGGCTTAGACTTGTCTCTGAATCTTGTCTTAATGAATATATTCAACAATGTACAGAGCCACTACTATTTAAATCGCGCTTACTTGCAAATTGAAACAAAACATTGGTATTTAGTATAACTCCAACTTCCAAAAACACTCACCATAGCGTAAATACCATTTAACGGAAATAAAAAGGACCTTTGTTAAAAGATTGGAATCAGTTTTGAGTTTTTAATGTAATAGGAGGCCTGATGTTAAGAGATCGACCAATGCCTTTTAGGAGTTGGTACGCTATTTCTTGAAGGACCCTAAGTGGAATTGATTTGGAAATATATCAGTGGGCGGCTGGTTCCACATAATGGTGGTGCACAGGAAAAACTGCCTTAAGGAACGCAATAGTAGTACACGAATTTTCGGAATAACACTATGAATAGAAATGAGAAAACTAATCGAGGTAAATACATTCTGATTTATATATAAACTTTAAAGCATTCCAGTTACTCCGATCTAACTTAAATTTGACCAAGTCACCAGTGAAGCCATGGCTATAAAGGAACGTTGTCTATTACTAAACTATTCGCGTAAAAAAATAATAAATAAATTAGCGTTCTATAATTGTTTTATCTAATATTTATTTAATTAGTTAAATTGGAAATAAAATACGTTGCTTAAGACTGAACAAATAGATCGACTACCCTCTTATTCATAAAAAAATAAATAGTATTAACTAATTAAAATAATTTGTTTCTTTCTCTCCAATTGCGATTTGTGATGAAAGAACAATACTTTCATTAAATTAGTAACTGATTTAGTTTTTTATGAAACGGAGGGTATATGGAAATTGTTAAGTCGTATTTAAATTATTGTTTTCACGCATTTAAATCCGTTAATTTGTATATTTATTGAGAAATCATATGTTAACAAAAGTAAATATTTGGGTTAAACGTTTCGACTGAACACGATGTGTTATAAATAAATTTGATATGAACATTCTACATATAAAATTATTTTGACACAATTTTTATAATAGTTATACAATTTAGACGAAATTTAGTGTCAATTCGAAATAACATCGTACAAAGATTACATTAATGGACAGTTTTATTAGTCTAACGTTTGAAATTTATGGCTTGCACGCCTGGTACATATTTTTTTTAAAGCCATATCAAAAATCTGGTTTTGACATTACTTCAATTCGTCGTAATAAGTTACTTTGAGTATTGTCAAATGTATGACAGCTCTTGAAACTTGAGTATAGACGTTATACCTAAGACCAGATTTTACTGGGAAAATTTTATGGACATTCAATTTGAGTAAGTACAAACTTTTAAGAAATTTGAAAAATTTTCGAAACACCGACAATATTTTTACAAAAGCTATACAATTGTTTTGATACCCGCATTCTTAGCACAAAAACGTTAATCGTAAAGTAAACGTATTCGAATAGTAAGAGTAAATTTGTATTAGAAATTAGAACAGCGTATACGCTTGGTACACACGTCACGGCTTTCAACGTTCGAACTGTTCGTGTACGTGATGTCAAATTGGAAAAAAAGTTTCTAGATCCAAAACACGAGTCGTAATTGCGACTTTTTAGGCGTTTTTAATATAAAAAAGCTACAACTGGTTAGTAAATAAAATATTGAAACGACAAAGCTATGAAAATTTTCGTGTTAAGAATATTGGTGTTAAAGCAGTCGATAGGAAACCTTATATTAAAGGACGCTCTCTATAGATATGATATAGACACATATGTAAATATACGTTTTAATATACAAGAATGTAAAAGTTATTAATACATATTGTCAACGTGCGATTGTTTATGAATGTTTTCGTGTCATTCAAGTTTTAATAACTGTCAAACTTGAATTAATTATATTGTCAATCATTACTCGGATTCTTTTAACATCGTTTAGATTTGAATTCAATACTTCATTAAATTTTAACCAATTAATGAATGGGATTATATGCGAAATAATGGTTAAAACTGTTATTTTCAGTTTATAAAGTCAAAAACACCAATACTATTTTAACTTAGTTTAATTATATTAACATAGTGCTATCTCATTCTTTATTATTCAATTAGAAAGAGACAACTGATCGTAAACACATTTAGACATAATAAATACAAGTTTGGCGTATGTGATACAATATACAATTAGAACGCTCGCGGTGTTCGTAAAAATCGATCTGTCAAACCATTGACAATTGACAGGTCTCAACTCTATGTTTCTGCTTGTCTTTGGATTCGCTAAATCGATTATATTGTATAATAAATTCCAGGAATAAATTACGAATCGTTACATCAACGAATCGTTATCAAAGTTTGGATTGAATTGTTAAATGAAAAATCAAGCTTTGTTCTACAAAATAAAAACAAATATTTTTACACATTTTGCTGAGAATAAAACCTGTAAATAGTGATGTGATATATCGATATTAACGTATCTTAGGCGCTGAGCGATCGTTGCAAAGTTTGTTCCTGCGTAGTGTTGCACCGCGTTTTATTTGCTCCATCAGTGACGTGTGACAGACGCGCGGGTCCGGCTGAAAAGAAATGATTTTCTTATTCCTGAGAACTGCATACCGGATGCAACTCCGAAGAACTTTATCCATATACCATCTTTAGTCTTTACAGGGTTATTGGTAATTCTACGAATTCCCGTTTGGGGGCTACTTGCGATAATTTTAATATGGAGAAAAAGTAAGCAAAGCTCTCAAAAATAATAGTACATAAACGTATTAATTTTTTGTAGGAATCCTCGAAAATGCATTTCGTTTTCAAGCAAATCAATGTATAGTGTTAAAAAGGAAATATTTACTGTTGACGTAATCACCAAATAAGAAAATCAAAGAACCAATTTGTGCTAAGGTAATACTTGAACGGCACTTATGCAAGAGTTTTTGAGTTCGTCAAAAATTTATTGAAAAGTTATCAATATTAAAACAAATATTATCAGTAGAAATTTCTATGTTTTTTTTGGAGATTTTATCCTCTAAATGCCAATTATAATATTTTATGATCTAGGAAATTATTTAAGGAACTGAAATTTTTTAGATTTTATAATATGAAAGTATACCTGCGCGTGAGTATTGATGAGATCCCTGACGGTGCTGGCTCTGGTTGTGGATAACTGACGTCGTTGATTTTGTATCGTGGCTGACAACTTGTCTAGGAACGCCGGCTGGATCACTGCCGGGACCGCTTTAAAAAAAAATATTGTACAGTGTCTGACGATACATATTTTATTACATCGACCTTTGGGATTGAAATTTCTGAATAGGTTAAGTTAATTGTTTGAAAAATATGATTCTCAAACAAAAACTAGAACATTAGCTTGTGAAATAAACAAAACTGAATATATAACATTTATTTTGACATAAAAAAAGTTTTTTTTTTAAATCTTAATATATATCAATTACGCGTCACGTTGTTTGTCCGCTATGGACTCCTAAACCACTAAACTGATTTCAATCAAATATGCACACCGTATGCAGTTTGATCTAACTTACAAGATAGGATAGCTCAAATCTCAATTTATAACCGCAATATTATTTTATTGCAAACTATTTGAAAGTCACAATTCTAACAGATGGAGCTGTGTTGAAAGTACCAACGTTTCACATAAGCTACAATTTAATGGCATAACCACCAAAAAAGCATGGTGGTCCCCATGACTGATGTTCTCCTACCGTTTCTCTTGAATAGTTTACTACTACATATGTAATATAACTAAAACCATAGCCACAGCAACGCTTGGCCGAGTCTACTAGTTGTCTTATAAAAATCTTTGATGTCAGTTTTTGCATTATCTGTCCAACTTAACCATATAACGTATTTATACTTACTTTTTGGTTTATGTCCATCCGCCTGTGTGATGGTGGAAATTGTTCTTCGTCCTGTCCGAGGGGACAGCTGCGGTCCCAGCTTGGCGCTTAGACTTGCGATTAAACCGCTCGCTGAAAATTAAAATGGATTAAACTTACAACCACGAGTTATGCAACCAAAAGCTAAGGTTTCCTAAAAAAGCGGTGCCATTATCTAACGGCCGTAATGTAGCGTCGGGTAGGTTTCCTAGAGAACGTTGAGTGTCATCGTCATTTGCATGACGGCCGTCATAGCGGTGATAAACATTAGTTCAACGTTTTTCGCGTGAAGCGGTGCACATATTTTATTAATACAATGAGTGGAGTCGTGACTTGGACGAGCGAAAATGATGAACTAAAATTTGAAATGCACTTTTTCGTCTTCTGATGACTCTTCATCATCCAAAAATACTAATAATGCTATGTCCAAATCGTCCATTTTTCACCAGTGCACGACCTAACGCTCGAGTGAGTACTGAGTGACTACGATTGAATACGGTCGCACTAATTTCTAGGAAACCACCAACCGTAAAGACGGCCGTTATTAACAACCGTAAAATGACGGCCATTAGTTAACGACACCGCTTTTCTAAGAAACCATAGCTTTACAGTAGTTACAGTTAGTTACATTCATAATTCCAAAATTGGTGTCACTACCGTCTTTTTACTTTTGCCGAAATTTTTGCTTAATATTTAAACGCAGTCAGTGCGCATGTCCGACGCAGGCGCCGATCAGAGAGCTACACACACAAATTGTCTTTGACACATTGACATATTACAACCTGTAAGATGTCTATGATATTGCGTGGTGTTGCCATTCTGATAACACAAATGACATCGTGTTCTTTTATTACATTATCTCTGACATATATATAATATATTAGTTAATAATTAGAAGTGTAAACCAAATGTTCTTATAGCCAAAATGAGCCCTTTACATTTACCACACTCATAGATTGCAATTTAACATTCTCTTTTCCGATAATTTCCAATAACATAAGTGTCACTAGATTTACGAACTCATCAATAAGTGAAGTTAGTTTTTTGTTAATCCAGCGTCGCAACCCCACTCTCTCCCCCCACCCCCTCTAATTTTGTATTAGTTATAAACAAAGAGTTTCATTTATTTGTAATACTAGTCTATCTAATATATAAAATTCTCGTGTCACAGTTTTCGTTGCCATACTCCTCCGAAACGGCTTGACCGATTCTCATGAAATTTTGTGTGCTTATTGTGTATGTCTGAGAATCGGACAACATCTATTTTTCATCACCCTAAATGTTAAGGGTAGTCCACCCCTAAATTATTATTTTTTTATTTTTAGATAAATTACTTATTTTTATTTTTTTATGATACAGCATAAAAAATTTCATACAACCCCTAACTTTCACCCCTCTACGATCAACCCCTATTTTTTATTATAAATGATATACATGGCAAAATGACGTTTGCCGGATCAGCTAGTAATTTTTGTATAATTGTTAACGTAAATCAAAAGTTATGGAAGCACTCACTTGCGGCGTGTCTGTCGGCGCTGTGTGAGCGAGTAGACCCGGGCTGCGCGTAAATGCCGCCAAAACGAGTTTCTTGCTTCAACTTGAAACCTGCAACAAACACGAGATTTCCTTGTGAATTTCTGATTTGAAATATGCTGAAAGTAGTCTGCAATCTTTAAAAATTTAGGAATAAATCTAAGGTCCAATTGATCGACATGTCTAATACCTACTTTAATGAAATAGTAGAAAGAGAAAGAGAGAGAGACAGATACATTTTTGGTTAATAAGCAGCTATTTATCATACGAAATTACATTATAGCTAACTTTTCGATAAAGACCCAAAATATTTTTTAACACAAATATAGACATAACAAATAAGTATCGCAATGCAGCGAGGAAATTCTGCCAGCGTTAAAGATACCCCGGGAACCTAATGTTATAATAAATAAATATATTTAATATAAATACATTTAAGTAAAAATCTCATATATCAAATGCGCATTAATACGTATCACTCATCAATTGTACCGTAATTCAAGATTTATTGATTATATATATATACCAGTCTGTCCATAATGCGAGTCGTTATGAACCCTGGGCCCAAAGCTGGTGAAGGAGTTCTCTCCGACGCTGGGCGTCGACGGAGTTGAGGCTTGAGATTCTTTGATTTCACCGTAGATATTGCCTGGAATATTATATTCAATAGTGTACTAAATTTACAATAGAGAGAGATTTACAATTAAGTGGATCTATTTCACTGCGTTTTAGCGCAGATTTTAAAGGACACTTCGGAAAAAAGTTAGGTTTTCGGGAAATATCTATTTATTTTGTAATCCTACAGCTAACAAGTTATATAAAATAACAAACAACAGTATACGTAACTAAACGTACGAATATTCAAACGCTTAGCAATTTTAACACAAAAAGTTAATTCTGTATAGCATTTAACTTACGATTTACAGTTTGAAACAGCTACTAAACTTACGGAATAACTTGTAAAATATTGTAAATTCATATATACTTATTTTATTTAAATTTGTATCAATACTTTTTTTATATTAGTATTGTAATTAATTATTTATATTGCTACTCAGTACATGATTAACTGTAATCTTTTCAATGACAGTACTTGCTCAATTACTTTTAATTAAATTTATTATGTACCTAAGTATCTACATTTTACATTAACCCCTCCAGAAACTCGTCTTAAAAACTACTAAACCGATTTCCAACCTCATTTTTTAAGTAAATATCCAATTAAAAATTAGCTCTAAACTCACCCGTATGTCCATCTCTAAATAAATCCGAATGCGAGCTATTCAAGCTATTCTTCCTGGCGTACACAGAATTCTCGAACTCCACAATTCTGTGCCCTGTCTGCCCGTAAATAGGGTTCAAATTCCCACTGAAATTGTTCTTCGCTTGATGGAACGTGCTTAGTTGGTTATCGTAATTTTGATTTTGGCCATTTTGATTAATTGTACGTCGCAAAAGGCCAGGCGAGGCCGGCATGTGTTTTAATTCCGTCAACTGTTTTACCGTTTCTGCTACATTTATGCCTGCATGTGCTGAAAAAAATTATGATGATATATTTCTTAAGTCTGTCTATAATTGGCACTAGTAGTCTAAAACGGATAGACTTATTTCGATTTATTAAATATAATTGGAATTTATCGAGACTAATTAAAAACATACCTAAATTTTCATGAGTTTTATAAATTTTTGTGAGCAATGTTGGCCTAGTGGCTTCAGCGTGCGAATCTCATCTCTGAGGTCGTAAATTCGATCACTAGCTGTGCACCAATGGACTTTATATGTGCGCATTTAAGATTCCCTCGAACGGTTAAGAAAAACATCGTGAGGAGACCGGCTTGCCGTAGACACAATAAGTCGACGGCGTGTGTCAGACACTGGAGGCTGATCACCTATTTATCTATTAGATTGACAAATGATCATGCAACTGATACAGAAATCTGAGGCCCAGACCTAAAAAGGTTGTAGCGCCACAATCTTTTTATGGGTTTTTTATAATCAACATTTTTCGTTTTAATAATCATCAGAAAAATATTGTCTATACTCTATACGATATTGAACGCCAGGCAAACGAAGATTTCAGACGTCAAGTGCGTCTAACTAAGCCACGAGAGTGATTTTTTTAATAGAATTTTACCTGTATTTGCATCATGATCAGGCTGCAAGAGGAAAGCCGGAGGTGGGGGCAAGTTATCCGCGTCGTTAGAGCTCACTTGATTCTGAACATTCTGTAAGTTAATTTCATTGGTTAGTAAAGCTGCGTATAAATTAAGCGCGGCAGCCGCGCGAGCCAATGTTCGACCAGAGTTGACCTTCATTTGCCGCGCGAGCCAATATGAAGATGTAAATTTAGTTGGACGTGACTGCCGCGCGCGGCAGGCGATCGATCACAAACAGACCGCGGCAAATAGTCAGACCAGTTCACTCTTGTAAACCTGCGAGTATGGACGCGCGTGGTCGGGCGGCTGCCGCTTTCATTGTGATTCACCATCTTATTTGTAAAAAAAATAAAAGAAAAAGGCGTTGGTGGATGAAAAAGTTATATCTTAATAGATCGCTATATAGCGTGAAACTTCTGGAAGACATAAGATATGAAGCCGTTGAAGACACTATAAAAATTTAATATTCTTTAGCGCTATACAATTGAATTAGTAAACGGCACTTTTCGTTGTCCATTATTACGTATTTGCCGCGCGAGCCAAATCACCAAAACTAAACCGTCCCAACTGCGCGCGCGCCAACGAGTGAAGCTCCTTTGATGCGGTCTCAAAAACCGACATCGAGGGGATCGACCCGCGGCACGTTCGAGCGCGGCAATGTTCGAGTCGCCGCGCGCGGCGACCCCGTCTACATAGAGCGCGGCCGCCGCGCGCGGCAATGTTCGATGGTTTGCCGCGCTTAATGTATACGCAGCTTTAAAGTTATTCAGCTAAACCAGAGTTAAGTTCGGTAGCGGTTGTCGTATATTTCAGATGACATTGACAATTAATTTGTAATAATAAATAATAAAATTAAAAAATAATAATATATTATTGCAAGAATATGGTACAAAAATGTGTAAGGTGGTACAATCGTAAGTTCGCATATTCTGTCACACACAATGGCGCGCAAATTTGTCTTTAAAGGAATTTTGCAGTTTTCACTATTAGTCATATGAATTGGTCAATTCTTATATTATTTGTATCATACATATCATATCATACGTTATCAAATTAATATTAATTATAGTGTTTCACGCAAATAATCATTTACTCAATAATGTAGCGTGTGAGGAATCTTCCTTTAAGCTGGTTAAACAGAACACCATCTTTTAACCACAGATTATTGAGACTTTTTGGCGTACAAATAGTAATTTAAAGAAACTTGTGGACACAAAACTTTGCAACCATTTCAATTTTAAATCGAGAATATTTTAACAGAAACTCTTTCGGTATAACTGAGTGTCTACTCTGACTTACCTGAACGTAAGGTCTCTGAGGTCTTGAGATGGATGAAGATCTTCTGACAGGTGGAGGCGGTTTGCCCACGGAACTTGATGAGCCACGGCGGGACCATACCGTTGGAGCGGCTAGAATTTATTTTAACAAATAATTGTTAAAGTTTTAAAAATACTAATGATTTCATTACTTTATAGTCAACCGAACTAATATTTTTTTCCATTTATATTATAGTTTCAAAACTAGTTTACATATCGTCATGATCGTAGAACAATGTCGGATTTGAAAAAAAAACAAAATCCACTTTTTATCATATTTGGATACTACATTGACTAAATATTACGGCTACATAGTGACGGATTTGATAAAAACATTTTAGAAAACTGTGTAATTTAATGTTTTTATTTTTTAATCTTTAAAAACAAACCCTTTTGTTTGCTTGTATGCCAATTTTCATAATAACAGAATATTAATCAAAATAATTATGACAAAAACTAACATGATTATATTTGAAATTGCTGCCCTGTAAAGTATACTATTTGTCAGATCCGTCACTTTTCTACAACAATGGCGATATATAACATTTATCCCTGTGTTACGGTAGTACTGAGAGTCGTTCATTATATGGTACTAAAGCCATTAAGTAAAAATTAAAAAACCTTCTGTATACATCGAATTGGGTCGTTAAATATAAAAAAAAAGTATAGAACTACCCCTAATTAACGCTAAAACACATACAAAAGTTTTTCATTTAAGTTTATTAATTCGTTAACGAACTAATTAATCCGGTTTTAGAAGGATCTTAATAAAGATTAATAAAATTAAAAAAAAAAACAAAAATCTTTATTCAATAACAAGTTAAATTTTTAACAGATATTGGAGCCCCTGAACTAAGTCTAGGGAGATCTGTACATCAGGGTAGTCCGCTCTTCCAATGGTATAGCAAAATAGTAACTTAACAATTATTGAAACTAAAATACTATATTATAAAGAAAAACAGAAATATAAGACTAATTAAAAAAATAAGGATTTACATTGTTGAGATTTGCAGGTTTACATTTGTACGCATTATTAGCTACAAAAGTCTACTTCAAATAAAAATAAAGCACTTTATACACAGTATCTTACCGTCGCCAGGCTCCCGTCATCTCCTAGCAATAACTTACCATTCATAGAAACAGGTCGACGCTTAGGCACGGCCGGTTTCTTCCCTATAGTCGCAAAAGTAGGCGTTTCGGTGGCTTCATCCAAGGACCTGACCGCTTCTTCCAGACTTCCCAGCGATATCGAGAAGCTCTCTCGAGCGGCCGCGACGCTGTCGTCGCGTCGCAAAGTCACTATCTCCGACGCAACTGATGCGCAAAATAATACGTGCAAAGCAAAATTAGCATGCTATGGGAGATTGAATAGCCTTTTAATTTAAAAAATAAATCAGTGGCGCTACAACCTCTTTAGGTCTTGGCCTCAGATTTCTGAATGTGTTTCATGATCATTTTTAAATCTAATAGCCAAATAGGTAATCAGACTCCAGTGCCTGACACACGCCGTCGACTTTTTGGGTCTAAGACGATATTTCCTCACGATATTTTCCTTCGCCGTTTGAGCATATGTTCAATGCGCACATAGAAAGAAAATGCATTGGTGCACAGCCGGGGATAGAATAAGTAAATCAGCATGAGCAGCGTTGGCCTAGTGGCTTCAGCGTGCGACTCTCATCCCCGAGGTCAGGGATTCGATCCCCGATTGTGCACCAATATACTTTCTTTCTATGTGCGCATTTAACATTTGCTCGAACGGTGAAGGAAAACATCGTGAGGAATCCGGCTTGCCTTATACCCAAAAAGTCGCGTGTCAGACACAGGAGGCTGACCACCTAGTTGCCTATTAGTTTGACAATAATTGATCATGAAACATATACAGAAATCTGAGGCCCATGCCTAAAAAGGTAGTAGTAAACTTTGCTTGCTTGCCAAACACCCATAATAAATGTGTGTGATAATCAAAATGTGTAGTCAAGCTATTAATTAAAATAAATCAAGTACAACGTCAGGAATACTCCATATTTTTTTAAGGCTATTCAGTCTCAGAATTGCTAACATAAATGAAACACTCAAAATTAAAATAAATGATAAATGAACACTCAAACATTTCAAACTAAAACTGGGTCTACTTGTAAGATTTAGCTTAAAACAGGCTTAAAGTTAAAGGTATACCATCAGGGTGAGACGGCTGGTGATGAGCATGATCTTCCGCCGCGAAGGCACCTTGACTTCCGTACCCACTCGACGATTCCAGAGATGACTCACTGGCACTGGATTCCGAACAAACCTGGAATTACATTTTCACAATATTAAATAACCAATTTTTTTACGCGTCTGTACGCCGACTTGCACAACGACACAATTTTTAATTAGGAATCGAACCCTGGAACATACCCAAACATTTGAATTGAATAATTAATTTCGACGGCCTCTTGATATACAGACAATTATTATTTACAATAATAATTAATAAGTTTTATTTTGCGTGACCACATGTAATTATTTTAAGGTGTCCTGTATACAATAATTGTTTAACGTGTTTAGTATACATTCATTAATATCGCGAACAATACTCCATTCTCCATTGGATAGTTTCGATGCTATACCGCGAATAACATATTTTGATACTTTGAAAGTTATGCAATATATTATCAGACGTAATTATTATAACTGGCTTATGATAAATCCACTGATTCAAGCGCGGATTGTTTTTTATGTTTATGTAACGGGTAGCAAACGGGCTCACTTGAAGTTAAGAGATACCGCCGCCCATAGACAATCTCATTGCCAGATGGCTCGCAAATGCGTTGCCGGACTTTAAAGAATTGGTACGCTCTTTTCTTGAAAGTACCCTAAGTAGTATTACTAATTTGGGCTCCGGGAATCTTTGTCACCGCACGAAACGCGAGTACAATAAGGCGAACCTATTGCATCACGCTGGTTTGGAGTGACAGTGGTACTGCCTCAGTCGTGCCTGCCCATTTGGCTGGAGCCCGAAGGCAACAGCATGGCATTCCCACTAGGCATGACACTGTCACAGGCTATTTCACCAGTGGGGGATGTGGGCGTATCCTGACACCGGAAAACATAAACCTTGGACCCAAAAGTCAGAATCAGACACAGATCACAATAATCACCTTCTAATCTATAAGGACAATCCACGAGAAAGAAACATAACAAACAAGATGCATAAAAAGGATTTTCTTATCTATTTTTACTTACTGTTTACTTATTATATTAAATTGGCTTAGTCGTTCAGCCATAAAACGCCAACGCCATATTTACGCAATTGTATTTACATAACTCCCTATAAGGCGATTAATTTTATATTGCTTAATAGCTCTCAAGCCGATAAGTTTTCATTAAAAATCCAATATTTAATGTCTGAAACTTGTCTGTTTTTATTTTTCAAACAGAAATCGTTTTCATTTTTCATAAAACAGTAATCCCCCTATAACGCGGTAGATCCGGATTACGTTATAGGAAATCGTTTTGTACGAGTATTCTCCTAAAACAGTTTTTTTTTAAATCATAAACAAGTACATTTAATAAAGTTAGTTTAATTTTTTAACAACTCAATTGAAACAAGTGCAATGGTACACAAAAGTAATTATGGACTTGACAAATCATTATACATTCCACACTACAGACATATAACTTGATTAACCTCCGCGTTAAATGGGGGACAGAAAACGCGTTATACGAAAACGCGTTGTATGGGTACTGGGATTACTGTATATGAGTTGTCTAAAAGAGATCGCTTATAAACGATAAGGTTGCTTGACCCATAGATGTATTACAAAGTTTTATGTTAATCATGTTCTTATTAAAATAGCTGCAAGTATCAAAATACAATAGTCCACTATATTCAATGGGTTGATATAACGCAATATATCGTAATCGAAGTATGGTCAGTAGTGGTTTGCACTGTGCACATTGCGAACGAATTATGACAGGATCGATTTTGGCTGTTTGTATGTTGTAAGTTTTGTTTACATATAATGTTATATTTTATTTTTATTTGAAGTTTAATATAGCCAAAGGTTTTCTAAAATTTAAATAAATATAAGAATAATTTTAGTAACATTTTGAATTGTTATTTTAATTACATCATAATGAAAAAGCATTAAATGAAAAAGCTCAAATTATATAAAAATTATATAAATATTAATAAATATTTATTAATATTTATATAATTTGCAACATTACCAAATTTGAGAACATATAATACCAAAATAACATTAATTTTGGATCGTTTACTTTCTTCAACAGATTGTATAACAAACAAAATTAATCGCAGTTCATGTTGGAAAAGCCTATTACGATAACAAATTCGTTTCATTACAGATTAACTGCGAACATACTTCTGATAGCGGGATGGTGAGAAACTATGCATATGATTTAACATTCGCTATAAATTCTTCGTTTGTTTCATTCATAAACATTCATAAGAAACTAATTCACAAGTCAAACGGGAGTTCTGGGTTCAAAGCATTTAGTCAGTCTCAGAATATTAATCCGCCAAATTGGTTAAGGCAGGAAAAGCGCTAGAGTTTGTGTCACACAGTCAAAATGTGCATCTTTATGAACACAGTATACACAAATTTGTGTTTATAATGCACCATTAAAATTAGCAGTAACGTATATATATATAATCTCTAAATGGGGTATTATTACCCCTATCAGACACTAAAATCGCACTTAGAGCCCAAATGATATGATATGAAATAATTCTTAGCACGTTAATAATTTCATATACCTAATCGCGTTTAAATATCCAGTATCGCGTGTACAATTTTCTTTCCGAGATTCAAAACTTGAATACCAAAAATTTTACGATCACCTTTAACAATACACGTAGCTGTAGGTAATACATTTCCATATAATAATAATACTCTTGTATAATGGTAAATTTATTATGAAACCAATTCCGCACACATATTATTTGGCATATTGGCTCTGGTACAACTATGAATAATATCTAATCATGTATACTAGGCCTCACTTCATTATGTACTTGGTTAATTTAATAACATTCGTTTTTATTAAATTAACCAAGTACATAATGGTTGGACCCGGATTTTTCATTAAAGAATTTTTTAGAAAAATTCCGTAAATTTTGTTACACAGTTTTATTTTATTAAGGCAAGGCCACACGAATAAAAACTTATTTAATAAGACATAAACGTAAATTTGTGGCATAGCTCGATGTTTCGTGAACCTATATCAGTTGTGATGATCGAGTCTCTTTTTGTTTCTTTTTACATTATACCTCTATATACAATTTGTCAAAAAATTATGCTGATGTTAGAATTGGAGACATTTCAAATTGAACCTTAAAATTCAATCGAGTAAAAAAACCAACTGATAGATAGAAAATCCTATTTTAAATTTGTAGAAGACATCACATCTTATCATAAATAAAATATTCTTTTAGATGGATCAGTATTAAAATCCGATACAGACAATTATTCGTCTAATTTCGAAGTATATACGGTACACCCTAGCTGACCCAGCGTCTATACTTCCAATAAAAGATTCCAACCGTTACAGTCCTCACGAACCCGAAGATGCGAAGGCTGCATACAAATCTGGCGCCATATTGGATCAAAATACGCCTATCACTCTCAAGACTATAATTAAAAAACTGAACGATAGCGGAGTTTTTGACGCAAATACTACACTCAATGTACGCGAGCAGAAGGAATTGAATAAATTATTTGAGACTGTTGAGTTTATGGTGAGCTATTTTTAATATCATTTAGATATATTTAGATAGTTATTGAGCAGTGTTGGCCTAGTGGCTTCAGCGTGCGACTCTCATCCCTGAGGTCGTAGGTTCGACCCCGGGCTGTGCACCAATGGACTTTCTTTCTATGTGCGCATTTAACATTTGCTCGAACGGTGAAGAAAAACATCGTGAGGGAACCGACATATCTTAGACCCAAAAAGTCGACGGAGTGTGTTAGGCATTGGAGGCTGATCACCTACTTGCCTATTAGATTTAAAAATGATCAAGAAATAGATTCAGAAATCTGAGGCCCAGACCTAAAGAGGTTGTAGCACCACTGATTTTTTTTAATACTTAGTTGTAGTGATCTTCGACATCTATGGTGACTGTGCAATTTAATAAATTACCTTTTTATTTACCACATTATGAGTTCAGACCAAATTACAAGAATCAAAACTGCAACTAATGGCGACGTGCATAATAATAAAGTTCTCATGAAAATAAAATCGTCTTTTTGTTAATGAGAATAAAGATCTTTAAATATCTGAGCGTTGAAAATTAATAAATAATAGTTAAAAAAAACTAAAAAACACGCTTTTAAAGCACATCAAACTAAAAAGTGAAAAATAATTCCTAATTTAGGCTGAAAATGGTAATGAACAAAAAATACTGGTATTATTGTGAAAAAGCGTGGCGCGCTCTGTGCCATATTTTTCGTCTATCGAGCAACCCACGCTTTCACTTTTTAGTTTGATGTGCTTTAAAAGCGTGTTTTTCAGTTTTTTTTAACTACTATTAATTTTTTATTTTTTAGTTAATTTTTTTTTTTTTTCGGATTATTGCATTGTCATCGATCTTTGACAGGTGCGCAAAGTTTGAATTAAATCTGTCCGTTAAAAGTGGGTCAAAATCGAGTCCGAAGGTGAAGCTTATATAAAGCGTGTAAAAATCGATGTCGGCTTGAGTCATTTCCATGAATTTGAAATCAATTGAAATATGAATTGGGACATGATGTAACATTTGGCATGAATAAGGTTCTATGTTGTATACTCGTATACTAACGTTTTATTCTTCATACCAACAAATTATGATAGCAAATGAATTGAAATGTTGTCAAAGTGTATTATCATATTGATTTTGGACTCCCAGATAATAAAATTTCCTTGAGTGTAATAATCATGGCGATATTTTTTGTCTTTAATTTAATGACCTGGTAACATAGACCTTTAAGTCATAACTTATTTGGAAAATGTTCATTACTTTGGAGTCACTAATTTCACTTCACTAAATTTCGTCATTTAAATTGTTTGAATTGTATTTTTTATATAATTATAAACAGGTTTATAGGATAGTATTGTCTTTTATTGACATAACTTATACACATTTAAAGGAAACAATTTTTTTTACCGGATTGAAGTTATGTATTATTATAAATAGAGGACACCGTGAGACATTTCTGCCAAAACCCTCCATCTTTTAGTCGATACCAACTCCGGGGAAATAAATACAAGTACCCAATACAACTTTTTCTACAGCTGTGATACTTTTTGACATTCAACACCTTTTGTCTTCAGTCACCGTGACCACGCACGCTGTAAAGCACGCGAAACGTCGGTTAAATTTAAAATTATATAAAATAATTGTAAATTTATAATAATACAAACTTCAATCCGGTAAAAAAAATTGTTTCCGTTAAAGGTTTATAGAATGATGGATCTTTTAGTAAAACGTTGAGTGATCATGGCGATATATCTACCATAATCTACAAAGGTTATACACACAGATAACGAATATTGATATTACAGGTATCATCAAGAAACCGCCAACCATCTAGTGTACAGAACGTGTTCTCGTCATTACGACTGGTCGAGCGCGTTGTCAAGAAACAATTGAAAGAGGGGCAACTTTCGGAATCCCTTGCTTCTAAGTTTCATTGGGATAAAATGTAAGAAATTTAGGTAATAGAATACAATTAAATAGACTTTGACGGACAAAATATCGCTTTTAATTATTCTAAATTAAATGAAACTAATCCCGATATTGTCGCATATGACAGTTAACATTTTGCGGAGTCTAAAGATTTTAACTATGAAATTTTTTTTGCATTTTTGTAACGAATAAAAATTACGGACCAATTTAAAAAATCAATTACCATTACTATGACTTACACTGAGGAACATAGGCTATATATGTCTTCGAAATAATAATATGTCCACCCGTGAGTGGCCGGGACAGACAGATAGAACAGAAGAAATAAAAAAATCTTCTTATTTTCCTTGGAGGATTCCAATTCTTAGGATGCTAGCTTCAAAATTGAGAATAGTTTAACAAATAAAGTTACCGTTTTAATCTATTGTATAGATTTTATCGCGGGCTTTGAGCGCGGCAACCGAATCAAGAAATTCCGTAACGAAAAAAACCTTACGCGTTAGAGTGGGATAGAACGCATACTGCGCATTCCCATCTCTCTGACGAGATCGGTGACGTAGCGTGAGCGGGGCCGGTGCAGCCGGTACGCGTTAGAGTGAGACAGACTATATAGGCGTTTTAGTCTGAGTCTGGAAGAGTGGTAGATTGAAATAATATCAAAGAAAATCAAATACTGCATAAATAAAAAATGAATAAATAATTATAACTGCATAAGTTGATAAAAAATACTATGCAATAGCTTTACCGCGACACTCCCCGAGTGCCACACGTTTTTTTTTTATAACGTATATAAAAGTAATAATATAAAGTTTTGTAATACAGGAAAGATGGGTAGGCATGCCTGGTCGAATAGGTGAGAAGTCACTATTAAGATTCCTTTGAATTTTGTATTTTTATTAATTACTTTTTCTCTTTACAGCTCCACGCGGCCCATTCGTGAAAAACCCATGTACCACATCGACAGAACTACTAACATGAGGGTTTTTGATATTAATTAATTAATCTTTATTGTAATAAAGTCTAAGTTTTTAATGTATGGTTTTGTTTTATTTAAATAAGTAATTAAAAGCAATAATCTCGTGATGCTACCTTTGTGGGAAATACCCTTAGATCTTTGCATGTCTTTTCATATTTTTTTTTCTTAATGAGCAATCACTTGATTGGCCATTTGTGTCAGACATTATTGATCAATTTGACATGCTAGTTTTCTGTACGAAAAAAATATATTTATGTACAAAGAAATGAATATAATATGCAAAAAAAATAACATAATGACAACTTGCAGATATAGTTTGGATATGATAAACAATAATAATAAAAAATAACAATAATACCTGCGTTGTTTAGAGTAAAATCATTTGAATCCAATCGATATATCTTTTCTATTTAATTTCAGTTAACTTGGTTTAGATGTTTAAATTGCCTTACAAGACAAACATACTTAGTATCGTATCGTGGGGCATGGGGCAAATGCTGTCTATATACAACAAAATAATTGCAAAATACCTTTTCTTGTTGAGGAAATTCTGTGTTGTGTTGCTGCGCCCGCGACGCCGCCATTGTTGCCAGTTCTGACATATTCACGTACAGAGCTTGCGGCATTTCTAAAAATAATAAAAAAACAATTATTTAATCAACCTTGTGGTATATTTAGAATATATCTCAAAACCATATAGGATCCTTAGAATTATATACACACCTAGAACCTGTAGAGAAATTTTAAATTAGAAGAAAATATAAAAAATGGTTTTAATTGTCTGGCAACACCGTTTATTTGAATTTGAAAAACAGGATAGCAACCCTAGATTATATTCGGTGACTGACAAATATCCATGACTCTCGTATATCGCAACGCACTCTAAACCATCTGACATTGAGTGTCAATGGGCGGCCGTATCACTTAACACCAAGAAAGTCCCCTACCCGTTTGCCCCTAGTCAATAAAAAATTAAACACAAAACGAATGCCAAATACTTTGACGTACGAAAGCCCTATATTTATACATTTGTCACAAGTAGATATTGCTTACATAGAAAAGTATATACTTTACCAGAATTTTAATGGAAAAATATAAATTATGTAAAAATACCTTTAGTAAGATGTGGAGGCAAGGAAGACGGTTTTGGCTTCATTTCGCTATGCAGCATACAGTTGGACTTGCTCGGTACTATCGGTCTCTCCAATGATGAACATCTCTGAAAATCATACGTTTAAGTTCTCCAGTTAATATCTATTGAGAATGGTTGGCAATTCAAACATACACAATATTTATTTATTTATAAGTTCTAAAACAATGTGTATCCGTATAATTATACAAGAAAATACGACATCACAAATTTTACACACATGTTCATAAATTATATTAGAACACTAGCTGGCCTGGCGAACATCGTACCGCCTAACAGTCGATTCTTTATTTTTTTTAAATACTTATTCTGCTATTCGGGACACCGGTCTAGCTAGTAAGTATTATTACGAATATTTTGTATGGGAATATAGAAAAGTGTTGTTTTTAGACATTTTCACTCAATTTTTTTTAAATTTTCTCTCCGTAAGAACCATCCTCGTACTTCGAAGAATATTATAAAAAAAAATGAGCCAAATTGGTCCAGGCGTTGTTAAGTTATGCGCTTACCAACACATTTTGCGATTCATTTCTATATTATAGATAAGCAAGCTAGCAAGGGAAAAAATTAATCAAGCAACCACAAAATTTCTGAGAAATACGTTCTTTTGTTTACAAATTGGGATTGCTTGCACGTGCTTCGTCACAAGGAATATAACATAAGTACTGGTGCAGTTAAAGACGTCACAGAAAAAACAGACTATACGTTCAAATGAGAATTGATTTTTTATGTAATTACTAACACTCGTCTGAAATAAACATTTTCTTTTTCTAATACAGATTTTTCTTCTTTCCATTTAACGACAACTTTTTGTAACGTCGAAATATGCGCAGCCTCTTGTGTGTCGTTATATAGAGTTTACACTGTATATACATTTTATTTATGTGTTCAATACCGCTGAGAGATTCTTGTTAGGAACTAAAGAGTGACAAAGTCTGGCAAAGATCGAACTCATTTTAAGCCGCAAGACGCGTATTTATTATTTTTTATATATTGTTGTTTTTTCTAAGATAATTGAATCCTGGACCAGGCCATTTGTCTAGACGAATTTATATTGTAAAGCCAGCCAACGCACTCGCGAACCCTCTGGCATTGAGGTCAGGTAAGCACTTTTGCCCGTTCGATAAAAAATATTAGAAGTGGTATTAAATGTCTTACAGTGGGCAAAGGCGGTCTTGCGTAAATGGGCGTGTCCCTCGGCGTGTCCGTGGGCGTGAACGTATGTACGCTTAAGGCCGGACGTCCGTGAATGCGCTCCGAGCCTGAAATGAATACTACAATTATGTAGGTACTTGTAACACATAAAAAAGCCACGGAACTAAAATCGAACACAATTTTTTGTTATTGGAAAATGTTCCAAATATTTACTGAAACAACACATTTCTAGTTACTTACCGTCTTATTTACAATGGTTTATAAAGGAACCCGAAAAGAATTTAATAAAGATTTCTTTCATTGACATAACCTTTACACATTTAAAGAAAACACTTTTTAACCGGATTAAAGTTATTTATTATTATAAATTTACAATTATTTTACATAATTTTAAATTTAACCGACGTTTCGCGTGCTTTACAGCGTGCGTGGTCACGGTGTAAAATATTTGTAAATTTATAATAATACTATAACTTTAATCCGGTTAAAAAGTGTTTTCTTTAAAAGATTTCTTTCGTTATCCTAAATCAATCTCAAAACATATTTATTAATAAAATTACCAGCTGATATGGTATGAGGTCTTCCACCCATTATAGCTGAAGCAGCTCGTTCGAACTGCGCTGTATCTTTCAGGTCTGGCCAAGTCGCTGATGCTGCAATATACAGGCCAGGCATGAGAATGTTGCAAAAATATATTTTAAGACTTATTTATGTTTATAAAATAATTAAATACTTTTTATATTTAAATTTTTTAACTGACAATTATCTCTCTTATACTACTTACCAGCATTCATAATATCGTGTCCATCGTCGGTCTGATCATCACTGGTTTTTGTAACTAAGCATTCACTGTTTACACTTTGGTTGTCAGAGCCCTGAAATTAAATTAAATATATAATAAGTACTATACACTAACCTATTTGCACCGTTGTAACTGTACTCATCACATTTCAACAAAGCATAAACACAACTTGACAGAAAGAGACGAAATAGTACTTATTAAAAGAGTCCAATAAAGAGCGTTCAAGTATTACATCACGCAATTTTTGGAGATTATTGACCCCCCCCCATGTCACGCGCCGTAACGTTTTTCTGTACCCAAGTATAATAAAACGTTTCGTGACCACCTAGTGACTCTTTATACCTAAAACTTACCATTATGTGGTGTAAAGTACTGGAAAGTCGAAAATAATATTAACAATAACGCGTAATTCAGTCCCCGCCCCGTATCGTAACGTTCCTCCCTCCCAAAATTCGTTACATAATACTAGAACGCTCCCATTATAGGTTTTGTTAGGGTTATATAACACTTGAATTATTATAAGAACCAAGCTCAATTGACTTATTAAGACATTTCAAAGCCTAACAAAGCTTTAGGAAGTTAGTACGCATAAAATTAAATAAATGAAAATATTGTTTTTGTTTTCTGAAGAGTATAAATAAATTAAACATTGAAACGTCCCTGGACCGGGCACATGACGAGAGCAGGCAGGTTGAAATGGAACAAAAATGATTACAGAATAGGAACCACGAGACGGACAAAGGAAAAGAGGAAGACAGAGTAAGAGATGGACAGACGATATAAAGAGAATAGAAGGCACAACTTAGACAAAAACAGCTGACATTAGAAAATAATCGAAGCAGCTGGAAGAGGACTATGTGTCAGGACACGCTAACCACCAAATCGGCAAATGGGTGTCAGCAATAATAATAAATAAAAAATGTTAAACAATATTATCATTTACATTAAGTTATAATTATTGGAATTTTTAACTTAGCTTTATATAACACAAGAATTTTAAAAAAATGACGGATATACACAATAGAACAATATACATTCCAGGCTCGAAATTTGACAATAGCTAAGCACTCGAAATTTATATAAGCAAGTTAAGAAATTTCTGTTAATATCCGTTAAATCTATTTTACTTAAAATTATTCCTAAAAGAGACAGGCGTAATTTAAAGACAATCAATATTGTTAGTGTATACCATTTCCTTTTTGGTGAGAAAACCCCGTAATGTTAGTTCCAAGTTAATAAAGGCAAAATTAATAGAATTACATTATCAACGTAAAGCGAAGGTCGCTGCAGTGCGTCTTGTGATCGGAAACCGGAATCCGAGCTGCACACGCTCGCCATCCGGAATGGGGACTAAATAAAAAATAATACCGCAAATGAAGACGCAATAACAAAATATAATTACACGCGTTTCCTTTCAGTGTTTTTTTAAATACATAACTACCTGTACGGCTTAAAAAATATCGAAAACAATTAATTTTATTTTAAGTACCCCCTAGGACCCCTCATAGCTTATTCACCACGTGATAAGACAGATCTGTGGCCAAGAAGCTAAACAGGAGAGGAGAAAACCACTCCTCCTATTCTCCTCTTTCCTAAAATTAATTAACTTAATTATTAATAATCCAATAGATTAATTGTTCAATTTATTTTATCTTAACGTGTTTAAAATATGTTCTAAGATATTTTATATTACAAAATTTATACGAAAAATCATTACAAATAAATTTACGTGTTTGGAGTAAGTGTTTAGTTGTAACAATCTTGTATCTCTGCTCTGTTGTATGTCTATATAATATGTAAAAAATTTACCTGTGTAATACCATTCAGAGAGTCATCAGGTGGGGCTGGAGTAGTATCCCCTGATGATGCATTGGACACGGGCGTTGAGCAGCTTTGCGAATCTGAAATTGATCAGTGATTTTTTATATAGTTATACAATTTAATAAGGTGCGGTAGAACTTTTGGATTTGAGGTAGCCGAAAAAAAACATTTTTCATTATAAATACTGTTATAGTATTAGAGTTGGATTGGATTAACACAACCACCACGCCGACTCCCAAAAGCTCTATTGGATTAAAATTGAAAACTGTAACGATTTACGATGTTAAAATGTTTGTTTAAAAAACGACTTGGTGAAGTTTTCTTAAAAATTATAAAAAAATATTATCATAAAATTGCTATAATGTTATTATTCCAAAAATATTTTTTCATGATTAAATAATAATTATTAAGTGGAGACCTATTTGTAGGATTCGGTGAAGGAAGGATGGTAGCTGGACCTTTTCCTCCTAAAGGAAGGACCCTCGATCAGTTTACCCACTGGCTGACGCAAGAGTTAGCACGATTCGGGTATGGCTTCATCTTAATGCTTTGTAGCATTTTAGGTATCGTGTCAATTCTTACAAAAAACACACAGATTAAATAATTATATTTCTTTTAGATTGTTAACTATATGTCATGTGTCAAAACTGACGTTTTATTTAATTGTAATTTTGAGAGTTTGTTAGTCTGTGGAAAAAGACGCGAATTATAGCTTGTCACTAGATTTTTTACAAGAAGCATTTTTGTTAGAATATTTTCAGATTTTAATAGGGTATTATTTTTATTGTTTTGAAGGACTTTTCCGAAATAACTTTGTGTTGTTTCTATAATTATTTCAGAAACATATTGGAGTTTTAATATAATCTAAAAAAATCCTCACCGCGTCGTTCGGAGTGGGAAACGCTAAGCGAGCAGATGGATGTCAACGACGACTTGCGACTGCCCACTCTCGAGGCAACGGGCGATGGGCAGGTGCCACTGCCCCATCCACTTGAGCAGCACTTAACGTCGCAAATCACCTGAAATGTTTTTGATTCATTAAAATCTTCATCTTTCTCTTAAGTATTGTTTTGCCATATAAGGATTATTACGGTTCTAATATCGGTATTAAAAATGGGGGTTGATGGTAGTAGGGAGAAAATCAAGGGTTCAAAAAAAAACTTTTATCACTTAGTGGCTTATAATTTAAGACCTAATTTCAGACCTACCGAATCCACGCAAAAGTCGGTCAAGACGTTCAAAGTATATAGAGTCCGTATTAACCTGTAAACTAGCAGGTGGTAAACTTCTGGGCTCCGTAGTGTGTCGCGCCAACTGCTCTGTTCCTTCTTGTAAATGACCCACTTCCGCTAGCATTGCCACTTCACTCTCCTGAAAGATTTTCAACGATTTATTTGATATATACATTACCTATAGATATAACAACTAAATTTGTAATTCTTCCCCTGTAACCTAGCAAAAGCAGCATCTTGACCAGTTTTTTACACAATATGTATTGTAATATGTATAATGGAAAAACTCCAACTTTTCTCCTTAGCCGTCTCCTCCATAGACGAAAAACCTTTTATTTTCCTTTTTATTTTATTTTCCAGTATGATAAGTGCGTGCTTCTATTTCGCCATGCCCGTTGCAGGTAGAGGCTAAACTTTTTTCTAATGATTCCTTCCATATCGTGAATTAATATAGCAATTAAAAAGAATGGCAGATATTCTTGCCAGTTCTTCTAGTGCTTTCTACATCCTTCGTACTATGCCTAGTACATGTAAATTTAAAGTAACTTAATTAATTATAATTTTTTATAAGTTATTTAATTAAGTTAGTTAGTTTAATTAATTAAGTTACTCTTAACTCTTTGATTTAAAAATTCTACGTAATCCAAAAACAAAAATATAGATACACACCACGACAGGGTTGAGTAACGACACGAAGTGACAGAAGCGGCTTCTCTCTTCTATAAACGCTGCTTTGACAGCTTTCTCTTCCATCTCCTCTAACTGCTCTTGCCGTTCTTGGATATCCTGAAACATAAAACATAAAAAATAAATAAAATATTAAAGTTACTGTAGGCTTTGAATTATTTGTGGTTACATTCTGGTTTGAATTTATTCAATTCCTAGTGCTCAATAGGAAGCAGTAATGATGGCCTAGTGGCTTCAGAGTGCGACAATCTTTGACTGTGCACCAATGGAATATGAACACATTTAGCATTCGCCCGTATGGTGAAAGAAAACACCGTCAGGAAACCGGCATGCCTTAGGCCTAATAAGTCAAGGTGTGGCACAGAAGGCTGATCACCTACTTGCCTATTAGAAAAAACAAATGATCGCGAAACATATACATAAAACTGAGGCCCAGACCTAAAGGGTGGTAGCGTCACTGGTTTTTTTCTGTGAATACTTGTGAACGATCAAATTAAAAGCACACTTACTCCAACTTACACATACATACATGTTTGTCTACTTCTATATATTTAACATTACGCCTATATATACTAATAAGTAATTTAAAACTAACCTTATTTACTAAAAAGGATACATAAGAAACTGTCCAATAACTTAAAATTATATACCGTCTGATTTCTCGATAGCAATAGGCAAGTATAACACATTTATGTGTGTGTATAATAATAATTTTAAGTCGTAATCTGTATATAATTTCTAACTAAAAGTTTTCGCTAAAACTAATTTTCACGGAATTAACCAACCTGCATAGAAACGTCATTTCTTCTTTTCATATCGGGCGTTGCACGTCTCGCCTTCCTTGTCTGTCTCTGTGCTTCGTGCATCCTCCGTCTCAACTCCGCACGAGCCCGCTTACATTCGCGGGCGTGTTCGCGTCCCAACGCGCCCGTGTTGCAGCCACGACGCCATTCGTCGGCGCGCTCAGACAGGGGTGTGATTAGGCGCTCCATTAATGTACTAAAATATAAATAGTTAATTTATAGATTCAAGTTAATTTGTAAAGATAGTATGATTGAAGGATCCTCCAGTAAAAATATATTTTTATCTTTTTAGTAAAAATGTCATAGACAAATTAAGTCCCTGGACGCAATGGCAGGGGTGTAGAGAGTATTATTATATTAAAAAAAACTACCTTATAATAATTTATACTCAGTTTTTGAGCTACATTAAAACCTGGAATATATTTCATAAAGATAACTTGACAATTTACGATTCTGTCTTCAACTAAAACTTAAAACTTGGTTTGACAAAACACAATCGTGTCAATATTGTCTTAGAATGCATATCCATTAAAAAATAACATTAAAAATTAATTAGGAAAAACAAACTAAAGAATATTTACAAAAAAGAATGAACTAACTAATTATTATAGGCACTAACAAATAGTTAACCTTTTGTCAGTTAAATCAACGGACAATAAAAAAGGCCCGATAACTTAATAAAATATTAGTTATTTTCAAAAACTTTGTAACGAATCCGTTGCTTATAGCTTTTCCAAAAGCCTCCGTTATCAATAGACGAAAAGATAAGCCAAGTCAAATACCTTATAAAAGTTTTCATCCTTGTCTCTATAGCGCGATGCCTGAGGCAGACTCTTGTAAGCGCTGTCCCAATTTCTTTTGTAGCCCCTGGAAAAAAGTAAAACACTTAATTAAAGATTCGAAGGGCAAATAATATTCACCTAATAAATGTAAGTGAAATAGGTTATTTATTGAGTAAATTCCTTTTACCTATACAGATAATAACGTAATTTTTTAAACTTTCGTTTCCTTGAAAAACTGAAATTCGTTCAAAAAATTTACGTTCATAACGGTACATAGTTGTGTTGTAACAATGTGAATAAATACATTTTAAATTTGATTTTATTTTTACTAATTATTTTACTATAGTGAGTTATGTAACCAAACATTAGTTAAGTTACATATGTATAATACTAATATTTAAAAGGGTAAACAATCATCGCACACCTGAAGCCAATATTAGCCCTTTAGTTTTTACCACACTCATAAATTGTAATTCAACATTCTCGTTTCCGACAATGTCCAATAACATAAGTGTCATTTAGATTTACGAACTCTTTCAATAAGTCAAGTTAGTTTTTTGTTAATCCAGCGTCGGAACCCCACTACCCCAAATGTTATCTTATTTATAAGCTCATGTTTTAAACAATTCAAAGTTGTTACCCAGCTTCAAACAAAGAGTTTCTTTTAACATATATCTCAACATATCTTTACAACAACCGCCACTTGTGTTAAACTTAGTGTTACAATTTTTCTTCTCTGTATCAAAGGGTTACCAGCTAAGGCACGAAGGAACATTACAAACTATTTCTATACATAGTTGTCGCTTTTACTGACAAAAGAATCAAGCAAATGCCAAGTTTTAGTTGAATGATCTTTATAAATGTAATAATTTTCTTTGGATGATGGAACAGTTATTTAAAAATTATTTTACAATTTAATAAAACTGCGTTATTAATTTCTAATCGATCGTATTTGTTAACTAGTCATATATAAATCTTTCAATCGCCCGTTAATTCATGTAGAAATTACCTACATATCTTATTTAAATAAATATATGCATCGTTCTTGAAATAAACTGTATGACAATAAACCCGTACTTAAAACTCGATTAGATGATACACGTCAAAAGATTCAAAGTCGTCGATAAACATAGGACGCCAGAGTACGCATTTTAAGGAAAATGGGTTCATTATTATAAACTATAAAAGCGTTTTAAAAAATTAAAATGCAAGGCAATCTGATTTATTTTGTTAAATTTAAGTGAATGGACTAAACAGAGCACATTTGTTAAATGTCACTCAATGCAGATTGCAATAATTAATAAGATGCTATGTATGTTATATATACTGTATTATTTTGTTATATTGTATCTGAAGTTGTATACATACTCTTAAACATATTATTGAACAAGATAGGAGCGTCAAATATTTACAGAGCTAACATCAACCCGATCGACCTCCTTTTCCTCGATCTCCCCTGCCCTTGTGTCCAGGGACTTTTTTCATCTCTTATATTATTACTAAAATGATACATAAATCATTCGTGTTACGCGACTTGCTAGATACGTCTATTAGTATATTTATACCATTTATTTTTTTTTAATATTAAAAAATATTAACTTTTTAAACCAAACAAGTTTGTTTTTTCATTCAAATTCTATAATATAGTGTAAGCTGAATAAAATTAAAACTATGATAAACAATGCGCAGTATTTCTTAGAAACCAAAAAGGTCATAATCGTAAATATGCTTTTTCTTTTTATTACAAATAGAATACGGCGTCATCGCTTGTTTTGGAAATAGGCCGTTGACGTATACACAGGTGTTCTTGCAATTCGATATCTAACAAAAAGATTTGGGGACCATACCTAAAAGCTTGCCATGTATGTAAGAATTGGAACGCTCTTTTCTTGAAGGACCCTAAGCCGAATTGGTTCGGAAATACCTCAGTGGGTTCCACATAGTGGTGGCACGCGGCACAAACTTCGCGGTTTTAAAAAACGGTCAGTTGTTATAGTAGATATTGAGGGGAGAGTGACTTTTTCTATAGATATAATTCGACCATTTTCACCATGGCGTCTGGCGTTCCATAACAGAGCTCTTCTCAAATCACTACTTTATGGTACCAGCCGCCAGGTATTTCCGAGCTGTAACGACTAACTTACTGAACCTTTAAGGCAATGCATATGCAAGCCTCCTGATATTGCAGGTGCTCATGGTTTTCTCACATGTGAAAATTAAGTATTGATTATACAATACAAGTTATACATATAATATACATGGTACAACAAAAAGATATATTTCTAGCCAATTAATTAATTATAAGGCAATAAATTATCAAGAATTATCTATTTATCACGGATAACGTTTCAGTTGATTTAATTGCCTCCAGCCTGTCTGGGCTGATCTCATTCGTTATAAAAACACTTTTGAACAACACCTGCAAAATCTTTTTAAGGCTGTGAGTACATGAACTAAACTTTTAAGTTATTATGGACTTTTTGTCATATTTTAAAATTAAATTATGGGTTTATGGTGCTTTTTCTGATGCATACGTTTTGTTTTTAAACTAGAAATAAATACAATATTAGGAATAAGATGTGAATGAGAAATTTAGAGCGTTAGTATAAAATACAAATAATTAATGTAATATAGCAATTTTCAATTTTCATTATTTCCCTGATTGCTTTATATGAAAAGCCTTAACATGAATGAATTTACATAGCAACAAGTCTATGACTAATGATGACAGTAAATTGTATTAAAAATCTTGTTTAAAATCAAAACCAACTTTCAAATTATTTATATATTTTAATGAATTAACAATCTCAATTATTTACTACTAAATAGCTAAAAATAATTCTATTGTCTCTAGGAATTATATTTTTAAATTTGTTTATATTTCTATTTATCAATTAAAGAACGTGTCTACGCCATTGAGCAAACTCAAACTCAAAATATCTATTCAAGTGGGTAACCAAGTACACTTTTGAATTGTCAAGTTAAATTAATCGTAAATTTACATTTACTACCAGTTTGCAAGTCAAGGGCGTAGAGCGGGTAAGAAGAACTGGCAAGAAACTTTCCGCCACTCTTTTTAATCGCCATGGATGGATCATTTAAGTAGTCCTCAAATTTATAAAAAGCTTTATTGATTAATTTTCGTTTAACGAGGGCTTTGAAATTATTTAGTGATAATTCTCTAATTTCGCTTGGGAGTTTGTTGTAAAAACGAATACAATTTCCATATAAGGAGTGGTTTATCTTTTGGAGCCTGGTTGGTCGTACACTCAAATTAGTTCTATTTCGCGTATTATACTGGTGAAAGTCACCATTTGTTTTAAAATCGTTTATATTTTTCTGGACATACAACAAGGCTTCAAGAATATATTGACCAGATAGTGTCATTATATTTAATTCCTTAAACTTATTCCGTACTGACACCCTCGGAGAAACACAACAAATACCCCGAACAGCCCGCTTCTGCAGCACAAATATGGATTGAACCTCTGCAGCAGCACCCCACAGTAAAATACCGTACGACATAACGCTGTGAAAGTAGCTATGATACAAAATTTTAGCCGTTTCCTTATCAGTAAACTGTCGGATTTTCTTTACTGCATATGCTGCAGAGCTCAGCCTATTCAAAAGAGTCTCTATGTGTGGGCCCCATTGCAGTTTACTATCTATTGTTATGCCTAGAAAAACAGTTTTGTCAACAAAGTTTAGTTCACTGTCCTTAATGTTCAGGTTACCAATATCTCGCTTAACGCTAGTAGTTGTAAATCTAATACATTTTGTTTATTCTCATTAAGCAGTAAGTTATTAACATTAAACCAGTTAACTATACGAGAGATAGAAATGTTTACATCGTCCAATAATACGTTATTCCTATTCACTTTAAATAGAAGTGAAGTGTCATCAGCAAACAATACCATCTCATGAACTTCGTTGACAAAGAATGGGAGGTCATTTATGCAAATCAGAAATAAGAAAGGCCCGAGAATCGATCCTTGGGGGACGCCCATTGATACCTGCAAACCCGGAGAGGTGACTCGTTTGACATGAACTCTTTGGATCCTTCCCTTTAAATATGAATTCATCAGGCTGGAAGCTTTGCCATCAACGCCATAGTGTTGAAGCTTTCCAAGGAGTATATCAGGATGAACACAGTCAAAGGCCTTTGACAGGTCACAAAAGACGCCGACTCCATCATATGATTCTTCCCAGGCGTTAAATATATCCGAAATCAACTTCACACCGCTGTCAGTAAGGTAATAAAACTAGGTATATTAAAAGTGGACTTATTTTAAAAGCCCAACCCAATTCAACAAGAACACTTTAAATAAAAATTATTATTGATAAATATAACTTTATTCTTTGTATTAGAATTTAGAACATATTATATTGATTGCTTCGTCGATTTAAACATATTGATGGTGTGTGTATACTTAGAGCGGCCACAAACACCGATTTCAGCTGTAGCTACGGACCCTCACTGCTTCTCAATGTTAAAAATTCAAAATTCAAAAATCATTTATTCACGTAGGTAACACAATGTACACTTGTGATTCGTCATTAAAGAAATAAATATTAATGCTTCTAATTTTACATTTACTGCCAGTTCTCAAATCAAGGGCGTAGAACGGAAGAGAAGAACTGGCAATAAACTCTCCGCCACTCTTTTTAATCGCCATGTTTTTTTTTTTAACACAACGTTTGTAAGGAGCTGCAACCATTACACCATGTTCCACATGACATTTTAAGTAATTAATAATAATAACATAAATAAAAACAAAGACTTGTCCCCTATCAGCAGGAGGCATGGTGAAATAGGAGCACGCACTTACATTCTCGTGGGAACAACACGCAAACACATAGTCGAAATAATTAACATCACCGCATACACGAATTCAAGTACGACCAGTCACCACAAGTAGCACCCGTTCACGAGTATGACGCATGGCCAGCCATCGGCCCCCTCGCCATATTTTAGGGAGAGAGACAACCCGACGCATGGACGCCGCCACAAGCAATGACATTTAAGCGAGCATGACGATCCTTGAAATGTGGACTTGGCTACATAATAAAATAATAATAATACTGAAATAATTGGATACTACATGGATCACGGTTTGTTCCCACTTTACATTAAAACAGTCGTGGATGTTGACGATCGCCCCAGAGTCTGGAAATGCAGCCGAGAGATTCAGTCGTGTTACCTATAATATATACTGGAGCAACTCATATCCAAGCACTAGGATCGTTTAAATATTCATTTATATTATAATAAGCCTTAGCAAGCAGTTTTACTTTAATGTACGATTTAAATTTATTTATTGACAACGCTTGTATCTCACTAGGGATTTTGTTGAAAAAACGTATACAATTGCCTTGGAAAGAATTACTCGTTTTATGCAGCCTTCTGGTTGGTGCGCTAATTTTGTCTTTATTACGAGTACTATAATTATGGAAGCTACTATTCTTTTTAAAGATATCTATATTTTTCCGCACATACAAAATATTCTCATAAATGTATTGACTTGCCAGAGTCAAAATATGTAATTCCTTAAATTTGCTTCGGACCGACTCCCGTGGGGACAACCCACAGATCGCTCTTATAGCCCGCTTTTGCACTACAAATATCGATTTAATGTCAGCTGCATTACCCCACAAAATAACACCATATGACATAATACTATGAAAATAGCTGAAATAAACAAGCTTTGCTGTGTTCTCATCCGTAAGATCGCGTATCTTTTTTACTGCGAACGCTGCGGAACTTAGCCTATTCGAAAGACCTTCTATGTGTCGGCCCCACTGGAGTTTACTATCTAAAGTAATTCCCAAGAACACCGCATTATCAACAAAGTCTATTTCCTCGTCTTTAATTATTATTTGAGAATGACTACTTTTTACATTTGTAGTTACAAATTTAACACATTTTGTCTTCTTTTCGTTTAACTTAAGATTATTTGTATTAAACCAGTGAACCACACTGGAGATGGCACACGACAAAATCCATCACTTGATAACGTTATCAAGTGATGGATTTTGTCGTTTCACTTTAAATAAAAGCGAAGTATCATCAGCAAACAGTACCATCTCGTGAAGCTCCTTTACAAGAAATGGCAGGTCATTTATATAGACGAGGAATAAGAAGGGACCAAGTATGGAGCCTTGCGGTACTCCCATAGTAACAGAGGATCCCTGTGATATAGCTCCATTTACATTTACCTTTTGAATTCTATCGCTCAGGTATGATTCCACAAGATTTAGCGCTTTTTCGCCAATGCCATAGTGTTGAAGTTTCTTGATTAGGATTTCGTGATGGACACAGTCAAAGGCAGTTTGATAAGTCGCAAAAAACTCTAATGGCATCATGAGAATTTTCCCAAGCATTTAAAATCTCGGAAATTAATTGAATGCCAGCAACTGCTGTGGAGCGACCTCTTGTAAAACCATACTGCTGGCTATGCATAATTTTATTATTATTAAAATGTATC